AACACCCTTTTCTTTAGTGGGTTTACTTCTGCAAGTATCTGTTAAATGTTATATGTTTTTCTTTCTTGAATGCTAAGTATGCTGAACTCTAAAATTAAGCCACATTTCCTCCTTTGAAATTGCTAAACTTCCTCCTTTGGACTTTCCAATGATGGTGTACTGGGAGAAGAGTCAGAATGAATAAGCAAAGAGCTTATTGAATACTTTTTTTTTAAAAGGGTGTGTCTAAAACATGAGCAACTAATCTGGGGAGGAAAGGCTGATGGGTTAATAGTATGTGGTGAGACAATTAGTTTCAAGATTTCCAATATTGCCAAATTTGTCTAGTTCAAATGCTCTTGAGATGAGGACTATGTGCTTAACTGCAGAAGTATTTAAACTGCAGTTTTCTTACTTAACACACTCATAAAGGCATTATTTTTATTATTTCTTTCAACTCTCTCAGCCAGGGTTACATTATAAATTGGTCATTGTTATGCTATTTAGTGCATGTTGTTTAATATAGAACATAAATATGTCATTTGATGCTTCTCAATCCTGGATGAACATTAGACTTACCTGGAGAACTGAAAAAAGACAAACACACAGAGACTGGGTCTCTCAGTCAGTCCAATAAAATCAGACTATTTTGGGAACAGCTTGGGCATCTATGTTGTTTTAAAAGCTCCCCTGATAATTCTAATGCATGGCCAGTTTGGTTTAATGGTTTTACGGCTTAATGGAATAATCATATTATTTTTTGTAATCTTTACTTGTTGAAGATTTTTTTTCCTCTTTATATTTTAGTGATTTGAAAATACCTGTGCTTTTGCAAGGAAATTGCATGTCTTTAGTAAGATTTCTTATAATTTCTTATCTTAGCTGAAACCTTTTAAGTGTACTTTTGAGAGGATCTGTCCCAGCATCCTTATAATCTTGAAAGAAAAAAAATACTTTGGAAAATATTGACACACTGCATTCCAAAAGTTTTGAGTCATGTGCAGGATAAAAAGAAACAAACTGAAATTTTTCTTGGATGTCTACAAAATCTACCTTAGAAGGATTGTTCAGTGTTTATCCATTTTCCCATTGTAAGCCTGATACGAGAAACTTGGTTCATTCTGTTTACCTTTTTCTAGGTTGAGATTAGCCTGTGCCACTTTTTTGATGTATGATATTGGCCCAGTATCGTAACCTAATTGAAGCTCAAGTGTGTTTTCAATACAATAGGTTTATAACACTTAATATAATGTGGATGAGATAGAACTATGTAAATTGTGAAGTTCTCTTTGGCAGTAAATGAAATGATTCATATTATTCCTCTAAGAAGCAAGTAATTATTCTTATTTTTTAATCAGTGTGAAGTGTGTCTGACAGCTCCCTTTACTTCGCCCTGCAGAAGATGCAGGCAGCTTTTCCCATGAGGAGCAGGGAATGTCATAATCAACATAATAATATTTTAATATCTAAAAACATAATGTAAGATAAAAGTGAGTCAAGTTTAAGTGACTTTTCTTTCGAGGAAATTAGGGAAATACTTGATTTTCTCCAGTTAATGATGAAATTATCAATGCTATTTCTACCACTGTTTAAATCCTTTGTAGAATTGAGAGGAATATCCTAAAATTTTAGAAGATGGTTGAGCAACTTTTAAGTTAAATATTTTTTTTTGTAAAGTCTCTCTCCATCAAAATCTGGTTTTCATACAGAACACTTAATTTTCACAAAGTGAAATACATTCACATAACTATTTCTCAAAGCATGAAGGAGAACTCCAATGGTCTTCATGCTCCTTTGCAAAATTACTCATCTAACACTGAATTCATTTATAATGTTAAATAGATTTCAGGTGTGCACCTTTATAAATCAATGCCTGGATACTACATTAAATTCACTGCTAAAAGTTGAATTCCATCCATATTGTTACAAATGACAAGAGTTCATCTTTTTTTTAATTATAGCTGTGTTGTATTCTATTGTGTATCTACTTATCTATCTTTGGGCATTTAGGTTGCTTCCATAACTATTGTAAATAACTCTGCAATGAACTTAGTAGTGCATATATCCCTTCAAATCAGTGGGTTTTTTTTTTCATTCTTTTTTTTTTTTTTTTTATTCTTTGGGTAAATACCTAGACATGAAGTTGCTGGATTGTATGTAGTTCTATTTTTAATATTTTGAGAAACCTCCATTCTATTTTCTGTAGTGGTTGGACCTGTTACATTCTCACCAACAGTGTATGACGGTTTCTTTTTCTCCACATCCTTGCCAACACTTGTTGGTCTTTTTGACATGGGCCATGCTCTCAGTTATGAGATGTTATCTCACTGTGGTTTTGATTTGCATTTTCCTGATGACAAGTGATAATGAGCATTTTTTTAATTTGCCTTTTGGACATCTGTATGTTTTCTTTGGAGAAGTGTCCATTAGCTCTTCTGCCCATTTTTTGATTGTTTTTTTTCTTTATAGATCTTAAATATTAACTCCTTGTCAGATGTATGATGTGCAGATGTTTTCTCCCATTCAATAGGGTATCTTTTCAAATAATGACAGTCCCCTTCACTCTGCTGAAATTTTTTAGTTTTATGTAGTTCCATGTGTTTATTTTTTCTTTTGTTTCCCTTGCTGTTGGAGTTGAATCCCCAACATCATTGAATGCCTTTGTTTTCTTTTATGTAATTAATGGTTTCAGGTCCTACATTCAAGTCTTTAATCCACTTTGAGTTAATTTTTGTGTATTGAATGAGATAGTTGTCTAGTTTCATTGTTATGCACATGGCTTTCCAGTTTTCCCAGCACCATTTGTTGAAGAGACTTTTATTTCTTCAATGTATGCTCTTGACTCCATTGTTGTAGATTAGCTGCTTATATAAATGTGGATTTATTTCTGAGCTCTTGGTTGTATTCCATTATAACAATACCATACTATTTTGATTAATATAACTACATAGTATAGTTTTACGTCTGGGAATGTGATGCCTCTGTTCTTCCTTTTTTGTTAGGATTGCTGTGGGGTCTTTTGTGTTTCTATATATATTTTAGTAATGTTCTGTTTCTTTGAAGAATGCTGTTGAAACTTTTATAAGAATTGCTTTGAATCTGTATATTTTTTTAGGTAAGATTTTTTAAATTATTTATTTATTTATATATATTTGTTGTTCATAAGATGGTTATTTTTAACAATGTTAATTATTCCTGCCCATGAGCAGGGAATATCTTTTCATTTCTTGGTCTTCTATTTCTTTTAACAATGCCATATAGCTTTCTTTGTATAGGTCCTTTATCACCTTTAAATTTGGTCCTAGGTAAATTATAGTAAAGCAAAAATCAAAATCAACAGGCAACTATAAATCAGAGACACACTATGGTGGGGAGAGGGAGAAAGAAGGGAGTAGGATCAAAACAAGGGTGGGAAGAGAACAAGGGACCATGGTGATAGTTCACGGGTGAATGAGTGGCGGGAATTTTACGGGGACTATAACCAAGATGAAAATGCATAAATTGTACAAAAATGAAAAATCATGTAAAAATATATAAAATAATTAAAGATAAAAAATTTAGTCCTAATTATTTCATTCTTTTTAATGCAATAGTAAAGGAGATGGTCTTAATTTCTTTCTCTTCTAATCCATTGTTTGTATATAAGAATGCAACTGATTTTTGTAATCTTTTATTTACTGTACTGATTTACCATATCCAGTGGTTTTTTTGGTGGATTCCTTAGGGTTTTCTGTGTATATTATGTCATCTGCAAGAAGTGATGATTTTACTTCTTCTTTCTCAGTTTGAATCCCTTGTTATATCTTCCTCTTGTCTAATTGCTCTAGCTAAGACTTCCAGTATTACCTTGAGGAGTAGTAAGTAAAGACATCCTTTTCTTGTACCTGATCTTTTTTTTTAATTTTTTTTTTCAAATCCAGTTTAATCTTATGCATATGGATATACAATGCAGCTTTTTTTTTTTTAGATTTATTTATTTATTTATACAAGCACTGGGTACAGTCAGAAGCACGGGAGGGTGAGAGAATTCACCAGAGCCAGAGCAGGGAGCAGAGCAGGCAGAAGGACCGAAGTACACTGCTGAGGGGAGCAGCGGGAGGCAGGAGAGGTCTGCATGCCATGTGGGACCTTCCTCCAGTTGCCCGGGAGCAGCCGGGGATCAAACCGGCGCTGCAGAGGCTGCGGGCAGCTTCGCAACCCAGCGCTCAACCGCTGCGCCACCAGGGAGGCCCTCTTGTACCTGCTCTTAAAGGAAAAGCTTTTAGTTTTTTGCCATTTGGTATGATATTAGCCGTGGGTTTATCATATATGACCTTTGTTTACGTTTCTCTCCATTTACCACTTGTTTATTGATACATGAATCTCCTCAGTGTCCTGTGCTGAATTCCAGTATGTAGGAATTATTCCAATTTTGTGCCAACTCACAAGGGACCCTTTGGGTACAATGCTGGTCTTGCTAACTTACAGATTATTGTCCTGAAAGCAAAGCACGGAGTCTCCTCTGCCACCATCTTGATTTGATCTTATTGAGTGTTTTTTTTTTTAATTTGTTTTAATTGAATACTCTAATGTTTGGCAGCTCAGGTTAGTTCTCGATAGGTCTATCTACCAGGAAGCCATAACAATTCTAACCTCATATAACTTGGAAATACTTCAAAATAAAGTAAAAACTAATAGATATTTAAAGTTTATTGAACATAATGTAGACACACAAAAGTGTACAGGTCAAGAGTATGCAGCATGGTGAGTTATTGCAAGGTGAGTGTTTCTGTATACCCAACATGGGCAATAGTGCCAGCTCCTCAGAAGGCTCTCTTGAGATACTACCTAATCATTATCTTTTATTCTTCCCTAAAGGTCACTGTTATTCTGAATTCTAATACAGTAGATTAACCCTCTATTTTTACATATTAATGGTATCATCAGTATACTTTTGCATTTGACTTTTCACTAATGTTAAATATGATAACTATGTTTTGAACATCTGGAATGTATTAACTTACTTTTATTATTGTTTTTAGGTGTGTTAGAAAAAAACTATGAGAGCTTGCATATAGTAAATGTTGAAAGAAATGGAAATATTATTTATACATATAAGGTATGTTTATATCCTCTCTTTTTTTATTGTGGTAAAATATACTTAATATATAATTTACTATTTTAACCTCATGTGCTCTTTGCACAGATTCTATGCTAGAACCTATTGAGAGATAATGAATAAGAAATCTGTCATATAAAGTATTTTCTCTTTTTAAAATAAACTGTATGTAATGTGTGACACTTTAAAATTTTTGAATTAATGAATAATTCCACTTTCTGGTGGAAAAATGCCAAATAAATATAAAATATTAAAACTGAGTTAATAAATGTTTGTCTTTCAGAAAATATTGAATATGATTACTCTACATTATCTTTCTGGACTTAGATATGCTCAGACTTTCAAGGCATTATTATTTAATAATATATTTTTAATGTTAAGTGTTCTAAGAAAAGAAAATTATCTCTACTGATAATTTTACTATAACTGGAAAATATGAAAGATTATTTTTAGTGACCAGTTTGCTTTGCACAGTTATATCATTGTGGTTTTTTCTCCTTAAAAATGTATCAGTATGGTACATAAAAGGACCATTTTGATTCAAAAAGTTTTACTTATAAGACTATCATGGATTGTACTAGCAACTCCCAATATCCATCATACATATTCTCATAAAGAAATAAATGAAAGTTAAGAAATATTTGTTTCTTCACAATGTTTAGCCCTTACTAGATGGAGTCCCCAAAACTCACTGAGCTACACTTTCTGGGTCCATTTTACTCTGTGAACCCAGAGGACTACCTAAAACAGGTTCAGTCCTTTTTTAAAGGTAGCACAGCAAGCTACCTTTAGAGTACTTATTGCTAATGATGGTTGCATTATTGATGGTTCATTTTTAAAAGCCCTAACTTCCTAAATAGTAACATTTAATTTTTTTTTAGGAAAATAAGGGAAATGTCTTCTTTGGATTATATGATTGCCAAACCAGACAAAATGAGGTAATAGTTACCATAAATCATAGATTACTCATTGGTTACTGTGTTGCTTTTAGAATTTTCCTTCTTTCTGCCTTCTCATTTTTCTATATACAAATTCCCATTTAATTTTCTAAAAATTTAGTATATATTTCTTTGCTTTCCTCCTCTTCTCTCTTTAACCATCTCTTGCACCATTATCTTAAAGAAAAAAAAAGTCCAAAGACTCCTGAACCAAAACTCCAGCTGAAGTCTCTTAATCTTTTGAGATTTAAACAAAACTGACTCAAACCAATTATCTCATTTTCTGTAGGAAATCCAATGCCCTCCCTAAGATTTGTGAGCTCTTAGAAGTTTAGGAACTCATAATGACTCTGACTTGGAGTTTTGCTTCTCTTTAATCTTTACTTATCTTCTCAAAGATCCATGTATAAAGCCTAGCCCCCCTTTCTTTATCCTCCCACCACAGACTTTTCACATAAGGCATTGTTTGATGTCAAAGGTTTTGTCTCATTCTTGGGGCAAATAGGGGGGAATTACAGATTTTAGGTCCATGTAAAAACAATTTAGAATTGAATATTAGACCTTCTTGGACTTAAATCTCCTTTATATGCTCTATATTTCTCACTGGTCATCTTATTCTTCAGGCTTCCCATATATTGCTTGGTTATTTTTCTCTTCTTTCCTGTTCTTCCACCTCTTTGCCTGCATTCATTCAATGATCCAATGTGGACTGAGCGTTTCCCCTCTCAGGTATGGAGACACAGTGTTTACCAAGAAAACATTGTCACAATGCAAGTCTAGAAAAAGTAAAATCTCAAGTTTTTAGTACAGTATTCCCTTTGCCTTGTTTTACAGTATCTTGTCATAGGCACATTGTTGGTATTAGCATTGTTATTATCTACATCCTCTTAGTTGAATGGAGAGAGTCTTACTTAGATCAAGAATTTGCCCCTAGTTTTGCCCTTTCCAATTAAAAAATATGTATATTGAGGTAATACTGATTTAAACTGTGTATGTATATGTTTTAGGGGTGTAGTTCACACTTCTATAAATCTATGTTATCACACCATAGCTGCCACTAAAGCACCAGTAATCTTCCATTGTAGCCTATTGAACCCTTTCTCCACTTGCTCTCATTCCCAAACCTCCCCTTCTGGTAACCTCAATTCTGCAGTCAGATTTCTTTGGTTTGTCTTGGCTTGTTTTTGTCTAATCTTTGTTTGACTATTCTACTTATGAGTGAAATCATTTGATATTTGTGTTTCTCATTCTGACTTACTCCACTTGATATAACCCTCTCCAGTTCTGTGCATGTTGTCACACATTTGCCCTTTCCATTGTTCTTTCTTCCTTCCTGATGTTCTGTGGTTCCTTTTGTTTAAAAAAAAACGTTCATTTCCCTTCTTTTTCAATTATTTTTTAGCCTTTTATATCATTTATCATTATATCAGGTAGGTATACTGATGACAAATTCTTACAATTTTCCTTCATATGAAAATATCTGTTTCCTTCATTGCTATATTCCAGACATAGTAATAACCAAAAGAGAAGCAAAGTATTCATTATGCAAAACTAAGCAAATTCCCATTACCCTTCCTTCTTCATGCAGGCCTTCCTTGTTAGTGCATAAAAGAATAAATATGACCTAAACTGGTTGAATACAAGTGAATAATGGACTTTGTGGGGAATTTGGGGCATGGACTCTTATACTGGGTTTGCTAATGTGAGGTTGGAACTTGTCTGGCTTAGGGAATAGAACTTAGATCCTTGCTGTGTGGAGAGTGAGACTAGATTGAACTCAGAAAGCTAACAGATGGTTATTTTCAACTTCAACTAGTGCTGACGCCATATGCCCTACACTATTCAATTTCATGAGCTACTAATTGCCCTTTAACAGAAGCTATTTGAGGGCAGATATTTTGATGCTTACAATAGAAGAATTCTGAACTTGCATACTTTTTGAACCAGAAATTCAGATGAAAGGCTTTGATACTAGAAAGATACGTACACAAGTTTACAAAGATATATGTAAAAGAAGTTCATTGGATCATGTAAAATACCCACCAGTAAGTTCTTTGGATATCCTTACAGCCATTAAAGTATTAAGAAGTCTACCAGTAGTATACTGGCACAGAAGACTGTCCAAAACATATTGTCACATGATTGCTTGCAGTTGCTGAAACAATACCTTCCATTTATATTTTAAAAGCTTGCAAGGAAATTAGGCAGTATATGTATATAAATATATATTTAAAACTCATCTAGAAAGCTGCAGAGCAAATTGCAAGCATATCTCCTTTTGGGATAGAGTTGGGATTGGATAAGCATAATGGAGGACCTTGACTTTTTTTTTTTTTATAAACTCTTTTTTTTTTTTTTTTTTTTTATAGAGGCATGCTTTATTTATTTGTTTGCTGGTTTGTTTGTTTGTTTTGTTTATACATGCACTGGGTACAGTCAGAAGCGCGGGAGGGCGAGAGAATTCACCAGAGCCAGAGCGGGGAGCAGAGCAGGCAGAAGGACCGAAGTACACTGCTGAGGGGAGCAGCGGGCGGCAGGAGAGGTCTGCGCGCCATGTGGGACCCTCCTCTGGTGGCCGGGGAGCAGCCGGGGATCGAACCGGCGCCGCAGAGGCCGCGCGCAGCTTCGCAACCCAGCGCTCAACCGCTGCGCCACGGGGGAGGCCCAGGACCTTGACTTTTTATTTAGAAGTGTTTTCATGTTTTAAACACTGAGACTGTCTTATATGTTGCTTATATGGTATTTTATAATTAAAAGAATAAAACTAAGAATTAGGGCCTCCCTGGTGGCGCAGCGGTTGAGCGCTGGGTTGCGAAACTGCGCGGCCTCTGCGGCGCCGGTTCGATCCCCGGCTGCTCCCTGGCCACCGGAGGAGGGTCCCACATGGCGCGCAGACCTCTCCTGCCGCCCGCTGCTCCCCTCAGCAGTGTACTTCGGTCCTTCTGCCTGCTCTGCTCCCCGCTCTGGCTCTGGTGAATTCTCTCACCCTCCCGCGCTTCTGACTGTGCCCAGTGCATGTATAAACAAAAAACAAACAAACCAACCAGCAAAACAAATAAATAAAGCATGCCTATAAAAAAAAAAAAAAAAAAAAAAAAAAAAAAAAAAAACTAAGAATTAAATGTGTGCTTCCATGATTCTTCTATTTATAAATTAAAATTATTTAGTTAAAGCAAGAGTCAAAGGAAAACAGAATTGCTCACATGAATTCAGAGCCTTCTTATTAACTTTCTCTAATCAGTTGATTTCTGACTCCCCAAAATTTTTCATCAACTAGAGTTCTAGCGTAGAATTCTAGTGTATTCCCAGTCATATTTTAGTCTGCTGGTACTAATTATTTTTTAATACTTCTGTTATTATTTCTTTTGACTTGTCCTCTTCTGAGGTCTAAGATGCTATCTTTCCTTTATCCTCTGAGTATACCTTTAAGAGAGTTTGCCTAATATAATTGTGTTTACTTCTAGTTCCCCAATCTTCACATCACATCCTCCTTCTGCATGATGATTTTCATTTTCTTTACTATTCAAGGAATTGGGACCTTGTGACATTTAAAAAATTCAAACAGCAACAGAAAAAATAAAAAATAAGGATTAGAGGAAGATTATTTTGCCAACCCTCTAAGTATGAGAATACTACTAGAGGTATATTTGTGGCAGTCTCTAGGACTAAGCTAATGATATCATAGTTATATAATTTGATTAAAATTTTACTTGCCTCAGTAATCACTAGGTAACTTTTGAGTACTTATTATGTGTGGCAGACATTATAATAAGTGCTCTGTATTATCTTACTTGATCCTTCTAATAATCTCATGAATAGTTATTATGATGCCTAATTTACTGGGGAAATAGAGAGGTTGAATAACTTGATTAAAGTTTTATAGTTAGCAAGTGGCAGAATCAGAGTTTGAACTTGGTTCTAGTTTGATTCTGTGCTCTTAACCACTCTGTTGCATTGTGATTAAGTTTCAGTGTTAAACATGGTCTACAATATTAAATCTTCTCTTAAAATAACCTGAAATTTCTCAGTATAGATAAAATCATTGATAATTCTTATAGTAAAATGTTTTGCATTTTGTGAATGTAATGAGTTGATATTCATAACATTGTTATTTAATATGAACTCTGAATTAAAAAATACTTTTATTTTAATAGTATCTCTATACATTTGAGAAAGACTGCCAAGTTGTTAGTTGCTCTGTCAACAATGAGAGAACTTTACTTGGTAAGTGGAACTCTTTTATTGTTACCTGTCAAGTAAACTATCTTTCCAAAGTTTCAAAGTATGGATATATACAATATTTAATTATTCTGTAACAATGGTTTTCTGAGAAGGGATAATCTTGGGGGATTAGACTTGAAATAAAGAATTTGTAGAGTCTCTCAACAAAAGAGGAATGCCTTGTATTTTCCCTTAATTTGAAAGATCCTTTGAGCTGTCACTTATTTCAGGTGTAATATGGTAAAACTGAACAAAATACTGAATGGATCATTTGCTAATGGATTATTATTTTCTTTTTCTTTTTTCATTAGCTGCCAGTTTAGTTCAGTCTACTAAAGAAGGAAGATGGAATGAACTTCAACCAGGTAATGAAATTATAATTTAGGGGTCTATTGATAGATGAAGATTTATTCAACATTTCTGGACATAGCCTTATCTCAGAAGGAAAAGGCAGTGGTGATGTCAAGTATGAAAAAGTTTCTTTTATAAGTTATTTTTTTTCAAATAGACAGGAAAGCTCAGGAAATACTGTGATAGTGAATAGCAGTAGTTTTAAAAAAGCATTAGCACTTGAAGACTAAATAAGCATTGAGAACACATAAGAACCCTATGGTTGGAGCTGGTGTAAAAGTTTGGGAAAAGATTGGTATTCTTCAGAAGTACTATTTTTTAGTAATATTTGGTTAAATATTGACCCATACCTAATGCATTGTGAATTATAATCCATGAATACTAAATAAGAATCAATTTTATTCATTTGCCAAAGCCCATTTCATAGTTTATTATCTATGCAATAGTCCTTTATTCCCCTTTAGCATGGTATGTCATTCTTCCATCTAGAACTCAACAGATATTTAGTGCCTTAAGCCCAGTGGGGCCAGCTTTTCAATTATCAACAGAAGTATGGACTTGTATATAAAATTTTGAAAAATTCTTTTTAGGCAGCGATAACCACCTGTGGCTGGATCCAGCCCCTGGACTACCATTTTTCAAATCCTGCAATGTTTTCCATCTGTTTTATTTGGCACTGAAATGCCTTTTTTTGTTAGCATAGTCCCAAATCAGATGTATTCTCCTGTGGTTGCATGCGATGGAAAAACCCCTTGTACATACTTTCCACATGAGGCTTATGAGGCAGTCCTGTGCTCTTGCAGAGCCAGCTGGCTGTGTCAGGAAAACCAGAGCTGAGTCTGCATGGAATCTTCTCAGGGACCTCAGCAGAATTTATGGGAGATGTTGGTGGCAAGGAGGCTTTCCCTGAAACTACATTATTCATTTTACTCATCCTTACCTGCCTCCCACCATGTGAACATGGAGAAGCCAGCAGATCCCTTCCTTCTTCTGTGCCATATGCGCCTCTCAGCATCCCCCGTTCCTCTTATATTTGGTGCAGTGCTCACTTCAGAGGTATGGAACTGAGCTAGCCTAAGTAAAATAGCATTTAACACATGGCTGTCCTGACGCTAGATATGGGAAAACCAGGATAAGACCCTGATCTCCTGGGCTAATAAATCCTTTTATCCAAGAAGAAAAAGGCCTAGTTGCTTGAGTTCCTCTTGGAAGGCTAAGTGGCTATAAGAACCTTAGGTTCCCTTGCTGCATCTCCCAGTTCTTTTTGCACCTTTTTCCTGTTAGCCTTAGAAATTCTTCATTATGCCGGTAAATCCAGTAGTAACTGCATTATGCTTACCATCTATGTCTGATTATCATGAGAACAGTATAATGTAAATAATTTATTTACATTATAAAATATACTTTCAGACCAGTGTTATTATAAATTTAACTTGAATTCTATTGCCAAACTTTCAGACTTGAAAGTTTGATGTACCTGCAGTGAGACTATCTTATTACATCTTATAAAACATTAGAATGAATACTGGTAGTTATTGTATTGGATATCACATACATTGTGTCTTCTTAGCTCCCCTTTTATACCAGTCACAGTGGTGAGAACCAATATAGCCAAGAGTAATCAGACAGTGTTGTCCCTCAAATGCTCTGTCTATTTCTTACATTTTGCCCAGAGCTCTTGGGAAAATCTGTTTACTACCTCATGTGTACCATCTGGAGGTATGATTGGAAAGGATAACCAGCAGGGTAACTTATGACCAATGGGGCAAGGAGTTGAAGGAAAAATACACACCCCCTCTTGGCCCCTAATGTGGAGAATTCTGAGGCACATCCCATGCAGCTCAAGACCCAGGGTGATCTTTAATTTGAGAATGCCCTCTATATATGTTCTGGCATATTCTTCTGTGTTCTACTCTATCCACTTCCCCAAGCCAGCCAGCCCCTCCTGGCTAAAGTGGTCCTGCCCCCTGAAATAACAACTGTTCTTTGTTTGGGTTTCCCCATAAGTAGAGCCTGAGGCAAGCCTTTGAGTGCAATTAGTTTATTTGGAGGATGATCATAGGAAACACTATTAGAGGGGCGTTTAAACAGAGATCTGATTCATCAAGATTGGCTGCCAGATTGGACAGGAGTGTGAGAAAAAGAGGTGAGTCAGGATGGCTCCCTCTAAGGTATTTTTTTTGCCAGAGCAGGGGTGTGTATGTGCCTGTGTTGGCAGAATGGGAAGGAAAAAAGAGTTTGGTTTGGGGCATGTTAACTTTGAGATACCTCATCCAGTGGATGATGTGAGATGGGAATTTGGGTGTCAGTCAGAAATTCAGGTGAGGGATTTGGGCTGGAGATACACATTTGGAAGGAAGTGCCCATGATGGAAGACTTTCAGTTTGTTTAGTTAAAATTTCAGAAGTGATATAACCAGAAAGCATTATAGAATCTATTATGTTTTATCCTTTAAGCACATATTTTGGAAATATTTATCTGTCCACAGAGGACCTTTCTCATTTTGATTTGATTATAAAATTTGATTGTAAAATGTAGTTTGCCGCAAGGTGTTGTTTAGTATTCTGTTGCATCAAATCAGATTTTTCCATTGCAAATGAGATAAATTGTTAGATTTCATATGAACATGATAGGGGCCCTGGTTTTTCATGCTTTATAATACAGTTTCTATTAACAGTGCTTCTCTTGTCTTCTTGTCTATGGCCATGGTAGAATCAATATTTTACTTAGAATATAGCCTTAAGCACTTCATGGAATCAAAGCTTTTATAACTGAAAGTGGTTAAAGCAATAATCTGGTTCTGTAATTTTTTATTTTATGTTTTTAATAGCAAGGCACTGAGGTCTAGGAAAGCTTGGTGATTTACAGAAAAGTATATATTAGATTAATAATAGAGTTTAAATTAGGGTGAATGTTTCTTTAATCTGAATCCAGAATGCCTCTTGTTGCAATGTGAAAGCACATGGTATGTATTGTCCCTCACATGTTATTGAGAAAAAATGCTATTTGTAAATGATTACTCTAATTATTATCCTAAACATGTTAAATGTCCAAAGAAGGAAAAAATTAGTGTAGGCAGATAGTTTCTTCCTTGAAGATCCTCCCATTTTAAAGGTAAGTGAATAATTGGAATATATAAGCTTTTAGGGCAAGAGATAAAATAGTCAAATGTAAACATACTAAATGTATTAATTTATTCAAATTTCAATATACTTGAAATACATAAGAATAATAAGGAAAGTGACTTTTTCTCATTCTCACATTTTACAAAACATTTCTACTTTACTTTCCTTCATAAATATCTTTGACAACAATGTCTTTCTTATTCCTAGAGCCATTTTTGAGTGATTAAGCAAATTTTTAAAGTTCAACACCTTTACTTCTGTCCTATTTATTGAAGACAGTCTTTTGAATTGGTGTGTGATCTTGTCACTGAAGGTTTTATCCTAAAACATAAGTTCCCATTGACCAAACAACATTCGATTTTCATATGTTCTGCAAATATATATGTGTTCCCACATAACAGCTCCCTGATTGTCATGCTTTTTCAATAATCTTTAAAAGGCATGTTTATAGAAATGTCTAGTCCTTGCGACTGTGAGTTCATATCCCCAAAATTGTGATACATTCTCTGCCTTTTAAAGTAGTGCCATCAGGTTACTTTTTTAAAATTTTTATTTATTTATTTACTTTCATGTAAGAACTGTGGGGTAGGCCAGATGTAGAGGGAGTGAGAGGATTCACCAAAGACAGAGTGGGGAGCAGAGCAGGTGGATTTACTGAAATACACTGCTGAGGGGAGCAGTGAGCGAGACAGAAGAGGTTAGCTCCCTAGTGAGGGATGTAACTCAGGCCAGATAGCACTGAGACTTAACCCCTAGGTCACCAGGGAGACCCTAGGTTACTTTCTTAAATAGTGAAAACTGGCATTGATTCAATTCCAGGTTGCTATGTCATCCCCAAATTGTACATTATTATTCAACATAAAGTCACTGAGAAAGCTCTTAATACTATTAATGTCTTTCTAAGAACTCAAATATAAAGCAACTCCTCTTTTTTTGAGGTTTAATCTTGGGAAAGGGAAACCTTTGATCTAAATTTGGATTTCTGGTATAACCCCATTGTAACCCATGTCCAGGGACTTCTTCCTAGTTGCTATCTTTTATGACACTGAGGAAATAAGTGGGTTTTTATCAGTGCCGCTCCCCCACCATTCCTGAAGAAAGCCAAGCCCTGTTCTACTAATAGGCTCTGTGAACCATAATCATCACAGATATCTTTATTTTTTTCATAGACAAACAATGCTTGCCATTGTGCTGCCATCGGAGTGACACTGAACTGAGTTGTGTTTGTCTAAATTTACAAGCCTAGAAGGCCTGGGAAGCTCTGCTAAAAAAGGCTAAGAGATCGACAGGAACTTGTTCAGGCCCCATGCATCTTGATTTCCTCACTGTGATGCTTTCTATATTTATTCTGGATTTTAAGAAATGTCACAGTAAAATTTAAAGTCACTTTCCTTGGTGGATGAGTTAATACACTGGAGAACACATTTATATTTTCAAAGTTCAGACCTCTATAGGAAGATAACATGGAGTATTCTAGTTCTCATTACTAAAAGACTCTTTTACTTTGTAGGATGGAAGTGCTTAACTCTGTTGGTTGAAATCCACCCTATTAATAATGTGAAGGTTCTAAAAGCGGTGGATAGCTATATTTGGGTACAGGTAAGTGAGCATGTCTTTTATCACTTACCTTATCAATAAAAATGAATGAAATTTAGAGGCAATGATATTTATAAGTACTTTCATGCACATTATTACATTTAATCCTCAGAGAAATCAAGTAGATAGGTATGACTGGAATTATCAGTGATTCCTTTACAAATATGGAAATCAAAACTCTGTCTCTATGATATCATGTTTTGTTCAATAGTAATGTAATGTTTTTAGATGATAAAATATTGAATATTAAAACACTTTAAAAATAAAATTTTAAATGGTTTGTTTAAGTTATTCTTGTGATTGTCAGATTTAGATGAAGTGACTTCATCTATGAACTTGACAGTGCTATGAATTGATGCAGAAGCATTGTGTATGTGTGACAGGTGGACTAGATATGGTCAGTCATTATCACTTCAACTTACCAAATTTGCAAATTTTCCTACTTGGTAAAATTTATTTGTAACTCATAAAATCAACACTCATGACATTTTCACAGTCTGTGAATGTGCAGACCAGTGAAAAATTTGTCCCCTGATCTGCATGTCCACACTGAGGTCCAACAATGTGACACTCTACCTTCTTGTTTCAGCCCTCCTACTGTAAACAAATGGTCCTGTTGAGGTCTATTTGGTGCCAGGCTTTTTGCATTTTTGGCTTTTTATTGGTGTTTTCACTGTTTAAAATATCCCCCAGCATATTGCTGAAGTGCTGTCTATTGTTCCTAAGTGCAAGAAAGCTGTGATGTGCTTTACACAGGAAATATTTGTGTTAGTTAAATAAGCTTCATTCAAACATGAGTTTATAGTGCTGTTAGCTGTGAGTTCAATGTTAATGAATCAATAGTATATGTTAAATAAATTTTTAATAGAAATATATCAAACAAAGGTGTGTGTTAATCTATTGACAAAGATATGTTTGTATTTTTTTGTATTTTCCCTAGGAACAATGGGTTCAGTATTCAGTACAGAGTGTTTGTGGTATATTTATAGAATACACTACTCACAGATAACAAGAATCTGCTGTATATGTCCATGCAGTACTGCAATGTAATTTCCCTGTGCCTAATTTCATATTTTGCTACAGGGCCAAAATATTCCTTTTGGGCTGCCTGAAGTATCTGCTTGCTCCTCCCCCTACCCCCACCCTCCAACTACTCCTTGCCTACTCCTCCTCAAGCCAATGGATCTCCCTCTTACAGTTTATATCAGAAGAGGTTATCTACCCTCTGACCCAGGTGCCACTCTGTTAGCTAGTCCTTCAAGTTGTGCTTTTTCTCCACATTCTTGGCTTCACTGTTGGTTCCTGCTTGCTTCCAGATTGGACCTGGCCTGGAGCTCCCAGGCTATGTGCTCCCTCTTCCAGGAAGCCACTATGCTTACATTGTCATCAGTGCAGGGGTGATTGTGGGTCAGAGCACACTTCCCTTTTCTGGCCTGTTTTTTTGGCTCCCTTAGCATGTCCACCCAGGACCATACAGGTCATGCAAACATTATTGAAGGATTGGGGCAACTAAAGGTCATTAGAATATAGAAAGGAAAAAAGTTTTTCAGAGTATTTGGTTGCATAACAATATATTTTAAGCTACTCAGTTGTGTACTTTTCAATAGTTAAAATGGTGAATTTTATGTCTGTTAAACATATTGAAATTACTTACCTCAATAAACATAATTTGAATATATTAAAAAATACGTGATACATGCCTGAGCCCAGAAGCCAAAGGAAAAATCTCCACCCAAATAAAGAAAAACCTGTACTTCTCTTGCAGACCCATTTCAGTTCTTAACTTTGCTTCCTATTCTTCACACATGTGCTTCTGGAGGGAGAAACTCCTCCAAACCTCCATCCATAACAAATTCCCACCTTCTCCTTCTTTCTTCTCTCCTTCCCTCTCCCTTTTAGAGAAATGCTGGTCGGTATCCTCTGAGTTTGGTCTTGCTCTCTCTTCCATTTCTTGCCAAAACACTGCTGGTGCTCTCCATTAGTACCTTTCCCTAAGGCTACACATATGGTCTTGATCCCCTTCACAGAGGAACTTCAGGAGCAAGCTAGTGGTTGGGGTTTGGACCCCAATTTGCTGCCCTTGGAGAGTTCCCTACCATCATGACGTGCATCTTCCAGATAGTTCCAGTAGGTAATTATATACTCCTCTATACACCTATACTGCATACCTCCCAAATATGAATATGAATTCTCACAGTTTAGCTCTCTATTTGTAAAGATAAATATTTCCTTAAATGTAATCCATAGTGATTCCTACCCAAAACGTAGAGGGGAAAAAAATCTTTGAATGCTTTTGTAGAGCTGTGTCTGAAGCCTGTATTTATATTTCTGAGTTCATACCTTTCTCTAGGGCTGCCTCATAATAGAAAGAAAAACAACCCAAATGGAACTTTAAAAATCATGTTCTCACTGATTGCAAAGATCAGGCTGGCAAAGGTTTAGAAGTTTGCAATTAAATTTCCTCCGTATTCTAGTCCAGGTCACGTTCTTTTTTTTTTAGAAGTTTATTTTTTTGTAAATAATAAATTTTATTTTTATATTCCCCATACAATTGCAACCCCCCCATTCTGATCCCAATCCCTCCCCTCCCACCCCCCACTTCCCCAAAAGTGTCTCTGTTTCATAGTTTTTTGTTGATTCTGATTTTCACTTTCTTATAGTTATTCATTTTCCTGGTCCCTTATTTAAGTTTTCTAGATTCCTGCTATGAGTGAGACCATCCGGTATTTTTCTTTTTCTTTTTGGCTTATTTCGCTGAGCATGATCCCTTCCAGCGCCATCCATGTTGCTGCAAATTGCATGTGTTTATCTTTTTTGAATGCTGAGTAATATTCCATGGTGTATATGGACCACATCTTCTTGATCCAGTCATCTATTTTTGGGCATTTGGGTTGTTTCCAAAGCTTAGCTATTGTAAACAGTGCTGCTATAAACATAGGGGTGCAGGTGCTCTTTGGAATTGATGTTTCTGTGTCCTTTGGGTAAATACCTAGGAGTGGAATTGCTGGATCAGATGGAAGCTCTATGTTTAGTAGGTCCAGAAATCTCCACACAGCTCTCCATAGTGGTTGGACCAGTTTGCACTCCCACCAACAGTGCAGGAGAGTTCCTTTTTCTCCACAACCTCGCCAACATTTGTTGTTGCTAGTTTTTTTAATATATGCCATTCTCACTGGTATAAGATGGTATCTCATGGTAGTTTTGATTTGCATTTCCCTGATTACAAGTGATGTTGAACATTTTTTCATATGCCTGTTGGCCATTTGCATTTCCTCTTCAGAGAAGTTTCTTTTTAGCTCTTCTGCCCATTTTTTGACTGGATTATTTTCTTTGTTGTTGTTGAGTCTCATCAGCTCTTTGCAGATTTTTGTGATCAGTCCTTTATCATTAGTGTTGGGTGCAAAAATGTTCTCCCAGTTGGTGGGGTTTCTCTTTGTTTTTGTTATTGTCTCTTTTGCTGTGCAGAAGCTCTTTAATTTGATGTAGTCCCAGCTGTTTATCTTTGCCTTCACTATCACTGCTTTGGGTGATGTGTCTGTAAAGATGTCTTTGATGTGCAAATCACGTAGTATTTCGCCTATATTTCCTTCTATATATTTTATGGAATCGAATAGAAAATCCAGAAATAAACCCACAGATTTATGGTCAACTAATATTTGACAAAGGAGCAAAGACTATACATTGGAGAAAAGAAAGTTTGTTCAATAAATGGTGCTGGGAAAACTGGGTCGCTACATGCAAAAGAATGAAGCTTGACCACTACCTCACACCATACACAAAAATCAACTCAAAATGGATTAAAGAACTAGACATAAGACCTGAAACCATAAAATATATAGAAGGAAATACAGGTCACGTTCTTAAGCCAGTGTGCGCGGTAGCATTGCTGCAGCAAGGAGGGGCCTCTGCAGACCCTGGGGTCCTTGCATCTTCTGTAGCACTATCTTCTTATTTTGAGACACTGAGCATTTGCTCTTCTGCCACCGATATAGTGTCTCTCATCTTCACTCCCCCAGACTCCAGTTCAGGGTGTCCTGTTTGATATGCACAATTTCACAAATTATGAGACAGTAAGTTCTCTATTATTTTTGTACGGAATTCGGTATTGCTTTCTATTTTATAATTTTTGAGGTTATTGCGGTGAAGTATGGTACATAGTTAATGTTTTATTTTTCAATTCTAAATGTGAAAGTTGACTGACAGCAATTAAAAAATTGACCAATTCTCTTTCCATTTATTGTAATGAAAAGTTAGGACCGGGTAATATATTTTGTCAACATATTTTCCTGGTCTCTAGTGGGGCTGCTGACAGTGAAATAGGGACATGAAAGGTTAAATTTTATTCTTTTATTGTGCTTTAATGTTTGGAGGGAAAGAAAACCAAAATTTACTGGTTGATCTTTCAGGTTATAAAATGAAAATGTTGATTTGTAGTTACTCTTTTGATGATGAAAGAATTAGTCACTAGAGTCAAATCATGACCAGCTTTCCCTCATCATCACAGATGATGGCATCAGGCCTTATATTTCTGCTGCCTGCTTTCTTGTGTGTACTGACTGTACTGCTTTCTTGTATGTACTTTCTTGTGTGTACAGATGGGGGAGCATAGGGAAGAGGAAGTGGGGTGCATCAAGCACTTTCTTCCCAGTGGCAGTCACTCTGTGCTTTAAGGCTTGTAAATCCCCCACCACATGCTACTCCATGACTCACTGTCCGTTCTTGGAAAGTCCCTACTTATACTGTGCTTTGCTCTTAGATGTGAGACTTTGACAGCTGTAGTGGAAAGTACAGATACTTAGCTTTCAAGTTAAATACTAGGTTGCATATCAGATGTATTGATTGCTCTTTTTTTGTACATATAAAGTAGAACTTTCTGTACCAATGTTGTTTACACAATGGTCTTCTGAATCACATATTCTAAATAGGAAGCACCATCCCTAGAAATAGCTTATACTTTAGCCTTACTGTTTAAGTGAGTTGTGTTATACATGAAATCAATTATCCCTTGGAAAACTGACCTCTTGCAAGTGTTCCTTTTTTTCTCTTTGCTTCCTTCTATAATGTGTGTGTTATGTGATTTGCCAAACTATTATGTGGTTCCCAGTTCTTCCTATGGTAAGTACTAGTACAGTGATCAAATACAACTTTTGAAATAATTGGGTAAGCAAGGTGTGGTTGGTTGCTTATGATTTAGATTAGTTTCCTTTTTTGCAGTTCCTCTATCCACATGTGGAAAATCATCGTCTTTCAGAGAACCACCTCTTACTGATTTCAGAAGAGAAGTGTAAGTCAAAGATTTGATTCCTATCTTTGAGTGGTATGTAGAGACTTCATGAATGACACATCTAGTATAGTGTGGGACATGACTGTATGCAAGTTATCCAGTTGCCAATTCTGAGGGCTCGCTGACTTTTATCATCCACTTGAGACCTAGAACTCCTATGGAATGGCTTTTCCTTAACCTTCTGCTTGTTCCCTCAGCCTCTACTATTTCCTCATCCTAGGAGTGATGGGCTCCTGCAAATATATTTGTCACATAGTAGAATATTTGCAGTATAAGTTGTGCAGGTCATTTTTGTCTTCTTTAGTCCATCCTTTTTTATGATGGATGTCTGTCATAGTATACAACTACAAAATAACAGGTGAGGCTTAGATGGAGAGAGGGGAAGGTTTGAGAAGCTAGAATTCCTTGGCAGAATGCAAGGGCATATTCTAACCTTATCAAATTCAGTCAGAGACAGATAAGATTGGGGCATCCTTTAATGATGTTTTCAAGTGTGTGTGGGGAGACTGAACAGAGAAAGGACAAAATTGTCTGGTGGATCTTACCTAGTAAGCTATCTTTAATGTTATAAGATGACACTGCTAATTTATAATTGGAAGGACAGCTCTGAGTGGTTTGTATTCACTTCCTTTATTCTTGCTCACTTATCCATCTCACCTTTTTGTAACTAGCACTGGTAGTATGTGAGTGTGGCCAAATCTGAACTGCTTACCAAGAGGTATAATCTATAAATCAATTAAAGTGTTTAGAATTATGTTAATGTGGAATTGATTCCTTAAAAATACCTCCTCCAAATATTTTGTATAATGAATTTTCTGTCTGATATTTTCATACAAAGTGGTGTTTGGTATTTGGAAATTGAAGATAAATTCTGTCAGATGGGCCCTTACTAGCCCTGTCTAAGATTGGTTATAAAGGAGAGGCACACTGAAGGGCTAAATGCTCCATGTATTGTTGATACTAAGAAGCAGATAAGCTGGACTTGAAATAGAATGTAAAGCGAGGGTTGAGGAAGGTGAGTTTTGTTTAAACCTTTATTGTAAGATTGTTGTCTGTGACAATATTCTTTGTCAGCCAGTTTAATCAGCATTGCTTTTATAAAAAATGTTACAGAATGACAACAATACTCATTAACATTCTTTTTGTTTCTTTTTCCAAAGATATTGAACAATTTCATATCCAGGTCATTCAAGAAGATGGAAAGAGAGTGGTAAATATTTCAATTCCTTTATACTTTTTCCTAGAGAGATATTCTAGACATTAAAGATCAATTAATGTTATAGAAACATAACATTTTCTTTATGTAATATCTTTCAAATTATAATCTTGCTGTTGTAGTATATGAAATAATATAAAAGGTATAAAGGAGTTAATTATCTCCTTGATTTCTACCTCAGTCCTCAGTCTTACTGTCCTGCGGTAACAATAATGAGAGTTTAGTGTGAATCTTCCACGCCTTCTACGCCTTTTATCCCATTCATGCAAATGAACACAAAGTTAGGTGCTCGTATACAGGGATGCAGTTGTTTTTATCCAAATAGAATCATAACATACATACACATATTCATATGTATGCGCACACATATATGTTAATTTGCTGCTTTTATTTTTTTCTTTAACTCGGTAGGTTACTAAAGAGAAATTGAACGTTTCCTCTAATTTTATACATACATACATACAGATCCAAATACATAATAAATGGGATCATAATATGTATGTTGGGGTTTAATATAGTTTAATTTTCTCTTGTCTTTTCCCTTTCCTTTTCACTTCTAACTTTATTTATCCATTCATACCTTTCATCATATGGTATGGATATGGATGTGCACAATTTAACCATTCTCTATTAGAAACCATAAGGGATTTTTCAACCATTCTCCCTTAGCTAAACATTGACTTACTTGCTAGTTTTTTTATTTTGTTTGTTTGAATTACACATGTCTCAAACATGTTTACATCTATAGCTTTATGTATTTGGTACATCTATTTCTTTGGACTAAATCATCAGGAATTGGATATTTGGGTTGATGAATATATCTATTCAGTGAATTTGAATAGGTTTTGCCAGCTTGCTTTCCAAAAAACTTAAACAAGTGAGTTTTATAAGTAAGAACACTTTTTTCCTCTATCATGCCAGTAATAGGTGCATTTGTCTTTTTGAAGTTTCTAATTTGATTGGTGTAACTTGAGGGCATTATTATTCTTGTATTTAATTTAATATTAGTGAATTTGACTATCCCTTTGCTTATTAGCTATCTGAATTTGTTTTTCTGAAAATTGCTTAGTTATATACTTATCTGCCTTTCTACTAGGTTGTCTTTTTCTTGACAAATTGTATGTCATATTCATATATTATTAATATTAAAATTATTTCCTTCAGTATTTAAATAGTTTGGCTCAAAATAGCTTTTCTCTGAAGATTTTAATTTTAAAGTTATGTGAACAAAATTGAAATGGAAAATGCCACTTATTAATCATGTATCTATTATTGAAAACCTTAAATAAAAAGGCCTGGCTGAAAAATGAGCAGGAAGTCTGTAGCTGGAACTAGGCCGCCAGTGGCTCAGAGGATGGGAGGGCAGGGACAAGGTCAGTGGTCATGAAAGGGTCAGGCCAGAAAAGAAAGTCCAAGGCAGAATCCCAAGTGAGAATTTAGAGCAGGGAATTAAATAAACAAGTGGGAGCCAGGAACTGGGGGTGGGTATAGAGAGCACACTGGCTGGTTAGAAGAGAGGTCAGGATCCAAGAAAGACACTACAGAGAAAAAGAGGACTCGGCCAGTGAGACAGTACAACCTCAGCATTCCCTCATCCATGTGTGCCTTTCCTGGAGATCCTTCTGCTGTCCTTCTTAAAGGCTTATTTTCTTAAGACAGAAGGAGTTGCACAAAATCTCTGTATGATAAAGGTGATATTATTGTCCCCAGTATTAGAGGGAAAACAACAGCAGTACTCAGAGAGGCTAGGTAGTCTAGAGAGGGGCAAAGCTGAGGTATAGACCTGGGTTCCCATACTCTTGTCCTATACTGTCAGCACATACTTTCATATGTGAGAGTTTCCCAATCTACTCCCACCTGACAAGCTTTAGAAAAATGGAAACAGGAGGGGCTGCCCAAGGTTTAGATAGACAGGTACTCTTGGGTGTTTTCTCAAGCCATCACTTTGACCTAAGTATAATAGACCCAGGCAAGCAAGAAATACTTGTGGAATTTTGCCTTCCCTCCTGGGCAGTTGAGGGAAGACTGTACAGGAGGCACTGCCTAAATTGAAGGATGAGTAGTGAGTGTTGCTGAGAGGTGGGCAGAATGATCATACTCACCTCGGAAGATGTATAGGCAAGAAGTACAACCAGTGCCACATGAGCAGTTCAGAGAAGAGCTGGAATGTTTGTCCAGAAACACCTTTTCCCCAGCCTGGGCTTTTCCTTGGCATTACAGCCTCTGTCTTTTGGTACGGAGGGTCTCTTGTTTGTAGAGACCTGAGCCAGTTATATCCAAAACAGGAAGCTCTGAATCTTCTGTTAACCTAGCTGTAAATTTGGGGTAGATGTGGTCTTGCTCTCAGCATTCCCAGCCTGTTTGTTAGGGTTACAAACTAGAATAAAATAGTTTTTGATAGAGTCTTTGGGAAGAGTAAAAATGAAATGATGCCAAGTCTTTTTTTTTGAGAAGATTTTCCATGTGCATGTGGTGGGGATGAGGGCTGCTAAAAATAAACTGAAAATATTTACTTGTATTATAGAGATAGAATATATAAAATCATAGTGAAGCCAGGGAGCTTCTCCTTTAAAATAGTTATGTCGGGCCTCCCCTGGTGGCGCAGCGGTTGAGTGCTGGGCTGCGAAGCTGCCTGCGGTCTCTGCAGTACCAGTTGTACCATCCCCAGCCGCACCGACGAGGGTCCCACGTGGAGCGCAAACCTCTCCTGCCGTCCCCGCTGCTCCCCTCAGCAGTGTATTTCGGTGCATCTGCCTGTTCTGTTCCCTGCTCTGGCTCTGATGAATTCTCTCACCCTCCAGCGCTTCTGACTGTACCCAGTGCTTGTATAAATAAATAAATAAATCTTTAAAAATAAAATAAAATAAAATAGTTTATGTCTAAAATCTTTTCACTTCTTTAGGTGATTAAAAATTCTGGCCCTCTCCCAAGAGAGAGAGTAGCTGAAGATTTTATTTGGGCTCAGTGGGATATGTCAGAGCAGAGATTATACTACATTGAACTAAAGGTAAATATTAATCCACTGATTCTCCTTTTTTATGGGGAAAATGTAATTTTAACATTATAGTTACAATTTGTTGATCACTATATTTTCATTGATGGGTGCAGCCAATGAAAGTTTGTTAAAAATAATCAAAAGGCTGGGCTTCCCTGGTGGCCCAGGCGGTTGAGTGCAGTGCTATGAAGCTGTCCGCCGCCTCTGAAATGCGGGTTCGATCCCCGCCGGCCATGGAGCAACCCACATGGCACGGCAGACCTCTCCTGTGTCTCCCGCTGTTCCCCTCAGCAATGTATTTCGTCAGTCTGCCTGTTCTGTTCCCCACCCTGTCTCTGGTGAATCCTTTCACCCTCCCGCGCATCGGGCCTGTACCCCCGGTTCTTGAATAAATAAATAAATCTTTAAAAAAATAATAAAAATAAAAAATAATAATCAAAAGGTTTTCAATACTGTTTGGTTTTTGGCTGTCTTCTTCAGTTACTCTCTCTTTAAACAAGTGTTTTTATTGTTTTATTTTGTAATTTGTTGTTTATTTCACTTTCGCTTTCAGAAATCAAGAAGTATTTTAAAATGCATCCAGTTTTACAATGATGAGAGCTTTAACTTAATGGTAAGTCCAGAGAATGATTGGGCTACAGAATATTATATAAGGTGTTGCCCTCTTTTTAAGAGAGTTGTTATAATAAACAGCATTTTAACATTCTGGATGTTGAAATGTCACTCTATGAGTAAATAAAATAGTTCTTGCCGTGTCAAGGCTAAAACTCTACAACTAATACAATTAATATAATCTAGGTTATTATATATTATTAACATAATATAATATAGGAGAGCACACACAGGAAACTTCTGCTAATGGAATGCTTGACATTAAAAACTGTCAATGAGGATTAGTAGAAGGTAATAGGTGTGGTCTATAGTAAATAGCTTTAAGGATTATGAGTCATTTGATCCAAAAGAACTTAAGGATGGAGGATCTGAGAGTCAGATAAAAAGTCAACGAGAGGGCATAGTTCAATTAGTACAAACTCAGCATCCCTCCTGAAAAAGCTATGTGGAGTGCCAGCCTTGCAGTGAGGAGTCACAAATATTTTTATCTGTGGTAGCTAATATGTTGTTATTCTTGACTAAACTAATACTAATTTCTAATTTAGATTGGTATACCATTACAAGAATTTCATTTACTCCTCCCAGCATTTTTGGACTCACTCTCTTTCCAAAGACAAACAGTCCTTCCCTTATTACCTGGTTATCTGTGTCTTGTAAAAATCTACTCCTTTGACATATTATACAGTTGACTTATTGTACAACCTGTTAATGATATTCAATTCTAGGGCAAAGTTTGCCAAGTATTAGCTATTTAAGAAATAAATATACATCAAACTTGTGATTGTCTGTTAACTCTGGAATATTCCTAATGGGCTTTTTGTGCTGTGATTTTGGGGGATAATGTCTGAAAAGAATAATAAGTAATAATAATAATAATAAATGAGCTTTTAATAATAATAATAAATGAGCTTTTCATCAATGGGTAAGCAGAGTCATCTGGCTTGCTCTGTTTTTCAGAACTATCATCAGTTAATGTCACACTTTTGTTCAGTTTCTTCTGATTTTTTTTTTTTTTTTGGCAGTTTGAAGTACCCTTGGACATTTCATTAAGTGACTCAGGATTTCAGTAAGTTATTCATATATTGCTATTAATTTTTATGGATAATTGTGGGCAGGATGATTATACCTAACCTGTGGTGTGCAGATCGAAGGACAATTTGGTATTCTGTCTTTGTGTATGTGTGCATCTTTTATATTTCTGTTCTCTGTAGGAAATATTAACAACTTATCAAGCACAAACATGGGTTTTTACATGTAAAGTCAATGATATTGATTTTCTTAGCCATTTATTTCTGTAGGATGCCTTAATTTATTTTGATCTGTTGAAGTGCTCTTTTCCCTGTGATTAAATAAAAGGATTTGATGAGTCAGAGAGAGCTACATTTAGAACAAAACATGAGAACGCTTTTCTTTTTGCCATCAAAGAACAGATCACAGGCCAGTCCACTTATTGCTCAGCTGAATGTATTGTTTTACTTTTTTTTTTCTGTTTTCCTTTTTGCATAAAAGTGTAGTTTTTTTTTTTTAATTGGCCAAAATAAGTCACAAGGTCAAATCAGCATTTAAGGGATGGGAGAACTAACTCAGTCTTTTGATGAAGAAGCAGAGTTACAATACAAATGGTATGGGTACAGCTAGGAATGAAATTGTAAGGCTACATTTTTCCCCCAGACTACTTCATAATGTAATAAAAACTTGACTTATGAAAAAAATAGACAGACCATCAGTGCACAGCAGAAATGAAAGAATTAGAATATCATTAGAATAATGATAATCCTAAGTGGTTATCTGTTTCACTAGCTTTATTTCATCTATATAAACTTCCACTTGTGCTTATTTTGAAACTAGCAAATGAGTTACTCAAAGTCAGTAAAATTATAAAAATGTAAGTTGAAAGTATTATTTTTTTCCTTTGTTAGTAGGACCATGCTATTTATGTGCCACATACTTTTTTTAATTAACAAGAAACATTAAAAGGCAAACTGTGTTATCTACTTAAATCTCTCAGGTCATGACTCTATTTCTGTGGGTTTAGTAAAGTGGCTACTCACATCCTTTATGAGGGAAATTAATGCATTCATAATGCCTTATCCTTTGTGTTCTTAGACTTGTCAACTTTGGATGTAATGATCTTCAAGACCAAGACAGATTATCCAAGCACTTGACCCTGTGCGTTTTTACCAACCATACAGGTAGAACCAGGGTTGTGTTTATCAATGTATTCAGCTATATGTGAGTTCTGCATACAATTTAGTTGTTGACATGGATGGAGCTAGAAGGAATTATGCTCAGTGCAATAAGTCAGAAGGAAAAAGGAAAATATGAGATGGTTTCACTTATAGGAGGAATATAGGGGAACCAAATAAGATATCAGGGGAAAAAAGTAATAACAATGCAAAACACAACAAAACAAAACCAGACAATTATAAACCAGAGACATTCTGCAGGGGAGGAGCGGGGAGAGGAATCAAAGGGAGGGAGGGAGGACTGTGGTGGCGGTGCATGGGTGCACTGGTGAAGGAAATTCTATGGGGACTACACCTGGGGTGGGGATAGGATAAAGCAAACATTATTTGAAAATGAACAATGGTGTAAAAATATATATAAAAAATAAATGAAGAATAATAACGAATAAACTAAAAAAAAATTAGTTGTTGGTTTGCCATATGGATCCTGAAAATAAAATATAATAAAAGCATATTCTTCAAAAGTTGTGGACTTAGTGAGTCCTGGACCTGGGACGCGACGGTGAGGGAAATCAGACATGGGGGACTGTCATGTCCAGCATGCAGTAAATCTTTATTGTCTTAGTGCTCGTTATATATTATTTTAACTGCAGCAGGTGTAACATCAAAGCATACCATATAATGATAACACATAGGAATGATTAGTCTACTTTCTTAATATTATCTATTTACTTCAGACAGTAGGGTATCAGGTGGTTAGTTCTCATGCACATAATCTTATCGCCCCCTAGCTAGAGCCTGGGAAGTCCACTCATTATTTTTGTTACTCTCAGACTGTGGAGATGTAGAGGCCTGACTCTACGCAGGTCACTTTCTGGGCACTCAACACCAGGTCCTGTCACTCAGAGGTTTTTCTCAGAGACACATGTGTTTTCACATGCCTTAGGGACTCAGGTCAAGGCCCTTCTGCTCACTGCATGGGGTCTCTCCCAACAATAAGTGATTATGTGAATTTTCATATACCAAATTATCTTCTGCATTGTAATTGTTTTTTTGTGGAAGTATTTAACTATTTCCTCTGTCCTTTACATTTCCTATAAATTGGAAGTCAAACCAAAAGACATTGTTGGATACAGGTTAAACATTTTTTGTAAGAATACTTCATCAGTGATGTTGTGAACTTCATTTATACCTTGTTAGGGAGCATGTCATGTCAAGATGTCCTACTAATTGTGAGGCAAAGATTGATAACTTGGTTAGTTGGTAACCCTATCTATCTCTCTTGTAAAAGTATGTTATAACCTTTGCATTAGTAATCTATGAGGTGAAACTTTGGCACCTTAGGACTATCCTAATCCTCTATAACTTTGCACCTGGTGGTTTTGGAATCCACTGAAGCTCCCTCACTGAAGTATATTAAAAAGGTAATGACATGATTAGATATTTGTTTTTTAAAGGCACTGTGAAGAAGTGATTGGATTGGAAAAGGCAAGAGAAAAAGTGGGGAAATGAGCAGTTAGGATGAGGTTGTAATTGTACATTTGAGATGAGCTACTTGCACAGGGATTGGCAACAGAGGGGAAAGAAATAGACAGATTTGATGTACATTTTGGAGATGGAACTGAGAAGATTTACTGAAAGTAAGATTGAGAGGAACCGTTTTCAAGTTCCTGGCATAAGCAAATGGGTGGACAGTGATACCATTTATTGAAGTAGAATGGTTTGGGTAGAACTTAGAGAGGTAGGTTGTGAGAGTTTTGGACATGTTAACCAAGAGCTCTGGCATTGAGAAGAGCGGGCAGGACTAGAGTAGGATAAATGTGGAAGTTGTCAGTCTGTAGCTTTCTTTTGAAGCCACAGGAGGCTGTAGGGTCAGAAAACACATTTCGTCATGAGATCTATAAACATTAACATATAAAAATTAGATGGAACATCTAGAGCAAAGGGGGAAAGTATGTCTGGAGAGAGAGGAGGAAAATCAAAACAAGTGTGGCATTACAGCAGCCAAAGCAAAGGGAGTTTCACTAAGGAGATCTGTTAGTAGGTAGTAAGAGGTGACGCTAACAGCTAACTGTTAGTAGGTAGTGAGAGGTGAAGTCTATTGATCTAGCAACGTGGAGGTTATTCTGAATAGTTTGTGTTGGGTAATTGAAGTGAAATCTTCATGATGTTGGGTTATGTGCCAGGTGGAAGTTGAAAAATTGCAGCAGTACATGTAGACACAAGAAAGGGAGTAGCTGGAATAGAAAGTGGGATTTAGGGAATTTTGTTTTTTTTGATGTTGGAGACTCTAACATGTTGGAATGCTTACAGGATATCTAATGGAAAGAGAAAAGATGGCAATGCACAGCAGAGAGTGAATTGGCTTAGAAGGTAGAATGGAATGGGATCCAGGGTTATCTGGATGTTGTAAACCAGTGTTATGTCAAAAAAAAATTTTAAATACAGGTCATGTGGAGCGAGCTGGCCGGTTCTTCCTTAGTACTTCACTTTAAATCTATTAGATATAAACCATCATTTTAGGCTTTAATTGGATGACTCTTTTATTCCTTTTCATTTTATTCCCATAGAAATTGCTCATGAACAGTAGCAGTAATAAATAGGCTCTTTATGATGTATCTTATTTAATAAAATGTTAGCTTTAGCTGGCATGAGATGTAAAAGAGTCTGCTTTTTTCTTTATCAGCAATATCTGGGAAAGTGGAAAATAAGCCTTCCTCTTCACAGTCATCTTTGAAATAGAAAAAAATAGCTTGTTTCAAATGGAGATGCTTCCAGATTTAAGATAAAACAGAGAAGCAACCTGTAGGTTTCTGACTTATGAGTTGTCAGTTCATGTATTTCCCAAATCACTTTTCAAAAATAGATTTTAAAAAATTATGTTTTGGGGAGTAAGATTAGTTGACATCACTGTATTTTTTTAAGGGTTATTGATGCAAACCTCTACAAATGTATGTTTTCATGCCCAGCACCCAGGCTCAATAATCCCCCACCATGCTCCATAAGACCCCCCTCGCTCCCCTACTCCCACATTTTCACCACTACTTCTAACATTTTTTTTTTAATTTTTTTTTTTTAATAGAGGCATGTTTTATTTATTTATTTATTCATTAGTTTGTTTTGTTTATACATGCACTGGGTACAGTCAGAAGCGCGGGAGGGTGAGAGAATTCACCAGAGCCAGAGCGGGGAGCAGAGCAGGCAGAAGGACCAAAGTACACTGCTGAGGGGAGCAGTGGGCGGCAGGAGAGGTCTGCGCGCCATGTGGGACCCTCCTCCGGTGGCTGGGGAGCAGCCGGGGATCGAACCGGCGCTACAGAGGCTGCTGGCAGCTTCGCAACCCAGCGCTCAACCGCTGCGCCACCGGGGAGGCCCTTCACCACTACTTCTGATTGCCTCCATTTTATAGTCAGATATCAAGAGTTTGATATTGCTTTGGTTTTGTCTAACCCTTTGTTTTCTGTATATTCCATATATTGGTGAAACCATCCAGTATTTGTCTTTGTCCTTCTAACTTATCTCGCTTCGCATTATCCTTTCCAGTTCCATCCATGTTGTTCCAAATGAAAAGAATTTACCTTTTTATAGCTGAGTAGTATTACCCTTGTAGACTTGATTATCATTTTAACAACTTTGTTAATTTGAAAGAAAAAATATGATTCTGTGTTTTAATTTTTCTTTATTACTAAAGAGGCTGAAGCTTTAACTATGTCTGCTTAGAATTTCTTTCTCTTTGTGATCATAATACTTAAAAGCTTAGGATAAACCAGCAGTTTCTGCTGGTAGTAGTTTACTTTATGAAAGTAGTCAAAGTGGTACATAGGGCTTTTATAACTCTTTTAATTATTTTTATACCTTAGTATAGTGTTTTATTCTTAAAGGGTCTGCTGTAATTTTAAAGAAAAGTTATCGTTGTGTTCTCAGTAACCATAACAGTAATTTTACATTTAACAGAAATGTTAACTATTTTTTTATCTTATATTCTTTGTTGTTTTGTTTAAGATATTGCAATAAATGTTCTTCTAACAATATATTGCAGTTTTAAATGTCATCTGAAATATTCACAAATGATAAATACTGGAAACATCTTTAGAGTTCAATGACTTTATGTCTAGGAGTTTGCCTCTGTTCACTTTCCTAACCTTCAGTGGCCTACCACAAAGCCTTGCTTGTAGTGTGGAATTGAAAGTTCTTAGAAACTTGTTAATAGACCGCTTCTACAATTTGGAAATAGTTTATGAGGTAAGGTGAACCAGACATCTAAAAGAATAGAAGTGAGATGAAATGACTTAGAAAACTTTTTTCTACTATTTTAAGCTCTACTAAATACCTTCTTTCTTCTAGGAAGTTTATGTGTATGTTATAGCCCGAAGCTTGACTCTTGGGAACAAATCACATATTCAGTGTTTTACTTTCATAAAGGTACTTTTCATTTATTCTTAATTTTTTTAGCTTTTGTATAATCACTTTTTCCAACAAGTAGCAAATTAGATAGATTTTGAAGTCTTACTACCTCCAATAAATTTTATCAGTACATTCTATACTTGTATTCCTATATAGTACATTTCCTAGAGAAATTTGCTAATGATAAATATCAAGTTAGCCAATTATTTTATATGCTATATATTTATAAGGCCTATAGAGCAACCTAATGGAAATATTTGCCCAAACTGTGTTTGATTGCTTTTTAAGAAACATTTATTTCATGTTACACATCTGTGGTCTAAGAAATTGATATCGCAACATTCAACCTGCAGAGTAAGAAGTGCCCAACCTTTTCCAGTTCTATAGTCAGTGTGTCCTTTAATCATTTTAGTCTGAATGATGCTGAGGCATATTTGTTCTGCCTCTCTTATTCCTTAAAGCTATTATTTATGCAGTACACATTAAGTGGAAGTTAACATTTTTTAAAAAAAGATTTTATTTATTTATGCATACAAAAACTGGGGTATATGCCAGAGGTGCAGGGGGTGAGAGGATTCACCAGATAGAGTGGGGAGCAAAACAGGCAGATTGAGTGAAATACACTACTGAGGGGAGCAGCGGGTGAGACAGGAGAGGTCTGCTATGCCATATTTGGGTTAACTCCCTGGCTATAGATCAAACTCATAGCCATAGCTTGATAGTGTGGAGACTGTAACCCCTGTGCCACCAGGGAGACACAGAAGTTAACATTTTTTAAAGATGGGATTGTTTTCCATATTTAAAGCTTTATGCTAGTCCACTTCAGAGTTTATTATTCTGAAGGAGTGCTACTATTAATGTAGAAAATAGAGATCAAAGTAGAAAAGTTTAATAACTTAACTAATAATGAAGAAACTAAAAGTACCTTCAGATCTACATGTAAGTACATGCTTTATTTAATAGCAGTAAGTTCAGTATTTTGTAGATGTTTTTACATATTTTTCTAGTGAGTAATTATTAAAACCAATAAATGAAATTTTCTGATTGGGAGTGTAGCCCAATACACTGCATTTAGTAGATAGTCTAATGTCCTTTTTTTTTTTTTTACATTAATGTTTACTGCATGATTATGTATATTGGGGTGTTTATAAATGTAAATATATTTTTTATAATAAATTTTATTTTTATATTCCCCATACAATTGCAACCCCCCATTCTGACCCCAATCCCTCCCCTCCCGCCCCCCACCCCCCAAAAGTGTCTCTGGTTCATAGTTTTTTGTTGATTTTGATTTTCACTTTCTTATAGTTATTCATTTTCCTGGTCCCTTATTTAAGTTTTCTAGATTCCTGCTATGAGTGAGACCATCCGGTATTTTTCTTTTTCTTTTTGGCTTATTTCACTGAGCATGATCCCTTCCAGTGCCATCCATGTTGCTGCAAATTGCATGTGTTTATCTTTTTTGAATGCTGAGTAATATTCCATGGTATATATGGACCACATCTTCTTGATCCAGTCATCTATTTTTGGGCATTTGGGCTGTTTCCAAAGCTTAGCTATTGTAAACAGTGCTGCTGGAAACATAGGGGTGCAGGTGCTCTTTGGAATTGATGTTTCTGTGTCCTTTGGGTAAATACCTAGGAGTGGAATTGCTGGATCATATGGAAGCTCTATGTTTAGTAGGTCAAGAAATCTCCACACAGCTCTCCATAGTGGTTGGACCAGTTTGCACTCCCACCAACAGTGCAGGAGAGTTCCTTTTTCTCCACACCCTCGCCAACATTTGTTGTTGCTAGTTTTTTTAATATGTGCCATTCTCACTGGTGTAAGATGGTATCTCATGGTAGTTTTGATTTGCATTTCCCTGATTACAAGTGATGTTGAACATTTTTTCATATGCCTGTTGGCCATTTGCATTTCCTCTTCAGAGAAGTTTCTTTTTAGCTCTTCTGCCCATTTTTTGACGGGATTATTTTCTTTGTTGTTCTTGAGTCTCATCAGCTCTTTGCATTAGTGTTGGGTGCAAAAATGTTCTCCCAGTCAGTGGGGTTTCTCTTTGTTTTTGTTATTGTCTCTTTTGCTGTGCAGAAGCTCTTTAATTTGATGTAGTCTCAGCTGTTTATCTTTGCCTTCACTATCACTGCTTTGGGTGATGTGTCTGTAAAGATGTCTTTGATGTGCAAATCATGTAGTGTTTCGCCTATATTTCCTTCTATATATTTTATGGTTTCAGGTCTTATGTCTAGTTCTTTAATCCATTTTGAGTTGATTTTTGTGTATGGTGTGAGGTAGTGGTCAAGCTTCATTCTTTTGCATGTAGCAACCCAGTTTTCCCAGCACCAGTTATTGAACAAACTTTCTTTGCTCCAATGCATAGTCTTTGCTCCTTTGTCAAAGATTAGTTGACCATAAATCTGTGGGTTTATTTCTGGATTTTCTATTCAATTCCATTGGGCTGTGTGTCTGTTCTTGTTCCAATACCATGCAGTTTTGATGATTATGGCTTTGTAGTATAGTTTGAAGTCTGGGAGTGTGATGCCTCCATTCCCTTCTTTCTTTTTCAGGAGACTAGCTCTTTATTTCTTAACCTCCTCTCTCTGTGTTCATGTTCCCTCTGTACAGGGCACAGCAAGACCTTCACTGCTGCTCTGGGAAGTGTTGACTCACAGGCGACAAAGGGCATTATTTTTCTCAATCTTGGTGAGTAAGGTAGGACATCTCTCTGCTCTGACCTTTCCGTCTATTACGTGGCATGTCTCAGCCTTCTTGATCTCATTTTCTCTCTGTGCGCCCCTTTTTCTCATGGCTCTTTGGAACTCAAATTGTAATCACATTCACTGACCTCTTTGAAGCCCAATGGGAAGGTTTTATTTGGAAACAACCTCCTCATCCCAACCCCTCAGGCTCTTTTGGGGGACACGGCTCCTTTTTTAGAGAATCTATGGTGTGATCTTTCTTACAGTTTTAGTAGCAATCCGAAAAAGCCATCTGTTAGTGTAAAAATAATGATAGCGAATGAGGTATTCCCTAAAAGCCTGTAAGAAATAATATACAGCATTTTGTCCCTTGATTCTAAAAGCTTCCAAATCCCATATGTAATTTATAGATCAGATTGTGTGAGTTTTTCATTGAGTAAGTGTGGTAAAGGATACTTAACTATTAGGGTGAGCATATTAAGGGAATCTGTAAGGAAGAAAGTAAAGAAGGGACTTATTGTATCTCTCTACTAATAGCTATTTTTCCACACCCTTTGGCATGTGGGGGCATAAACAAGTTAGCACAAGACTGAAAAACAGAACTGTTGTTTGCCTGCACACTGAACATGGTGCAATATTTTAAAAAGAAAATCTGCTGTCATGAAAAAGGTTTAGGAAGGCGTGATGTGAGGAAACTGAGTGAAATGAAAACCCAAATGATAAGAAAATTTATAAAAAATTTTATTTTGAATGACATTATTGATCAGGTGAGATATGCTAACTATAGCAAATTTTAACTTGGGCTCTGAACTTATGGGAAACTGCCTTGGAGAGGCCTGATTCTACTGTTTCCTATAGTAAAAGATAAATATAAGGTTTCTTGGGTCTGGGACTTGATTCTTATCAGCAGCCTACTATCAGCATCCTATCTCAACAGTGATGTGGGAAACTTTCCACTAAAAAAAAGTTGTTCTTTGTGAGGTCAAATCCATCCTTTTTTTAAACCCTTGGGAATGACTCTTGAAAAGGGCAAGCATAGTTTTATCTATGATCTTCAGAGTGTGGAGAAAGAAGTACTAGTGCTTTGTAAAAATAGGCTCCCATTCATAAGTCATCTTTCCTTCATAAACACAACTTATGTTAAATACACCAAATTGTACTCAAGGTTTAAACTATTTTAGAGTTAATTTTTATAACTTTTTTTTTTGAGTGATGTAATTTTTTGCTGTTGTTTGCGTGCAGTTTCCCTGAAATGTCACCCTATTAAAACAGGCTTATATTAATTGAAATATTAAAGGGTGGCTTTTTTCTTAAAGTTTTTCATGAAACCCAAACACCTTTATGTAAGGAAGATATGTTTATAAATAAAAGCTACCATTTAAAAAATGGATATTCAGTGTTACTTATTATTTTGATCTTTATAATTCTGCTTGGTGACATTATCTCTATTTTACAGATAATCAAACTGAGGCTCAGAAAGGTTGAAATGTGTGCCAAGCTTCCTTTAAGTGTTTCTTATCAGGGTCTCTTATGTTAATTTCCTATTGCTGCTTTAACAAATCACAACTTCACAACAACACAAACATTCTCTTACATTTCAGGAGGCCAGAAGTCTGAAATGAGTCTTGAGGGGCTAAAATGCAGCATGTGGGTAGTACTGGTTCCTTCTGGGGATTCCAAGGAAGAATTCATTCTTTGCCTCCTCCAGCACCTAGAGCCCAGCATTACTTGGCTTGTAGCCATACCACTCTAATTTCTTTTGTTCTTATATGGTCTTCTCTTTTGTTGTTAGCTTTCCTTCTTACAAAGACATTTATGATTACACTGGGTCCTCTTGGATAAATCCAGGATACTTTCCCATTTCAAGATCCTTAATACATCATGGAGGTCTCTTTTGTCAGTTAAGGTGGCATATTCACAGGATTAGAACATGAACATTTTTGGGAACCATCATTCAGTCCAACACAGGTATTGTTGACATTGTTGGTGAGGTGATAATCTGTGTGTGTCCATCACATAAAAGGATTAGACATCTCAGGAGTCCACTTACCAGAGGGTAACAGGAATCTATCCACCACACCAATGCTGGTGATGCAGAAAACCCTTGTTTATCTTCAAATGTTCCCTCTCCACAGGATAGTACCACCCTAATTAACTGGCTAAGTGGTAGGACTAGGAGTTTGCCTACATTATTTTCTATCCCAGTGTTTTCCATTGAGTTCAACTATTTTGTTATTCATGTTTTTTTTTTATTTAATTGTGGTTATACTATTATTGCAAACTCTTGTAATAAGCACTTTAACATCACTTAAGCCATGGTGTTTGAAAGGACACTTTCAAGTCAACTGATTAGAATTTTATATCCGTTTTCCTTTCTCCAGAACACCTATGTAAATGATTAGCATTATTTCTTTGCTTCTTAGGAAAAGCAGAGTCTCACTGACTCACTCGTAACTTTAAATGTTTCATCTATTGTATGGATTTCTCTGTTTTTCTGAGATACTAAAAAAAATTAATGGCAAGAGCTACTTCACCCTGCCATTCTCCAGAAACCTATTTTTACACCTTGTCTCAACTGTATACAAATACTTTTAGTTCAGGGATCATGAAGTTGTGAATTCTAGGCAGTTAGCTAGGCAAGAAATTAACACTTCACAAAGTATCAGAGATTGTTTTGATGAATATCAGTTTAATCTAAAAAAGTGATGATGATGGTGACATTGATGATGACTATGATGATAATGGCGAGCAGGCAAAAGAAAGGAAATTACATTTTAGAGCTTCCCCAAACTGGCAGAAACTATGAAAGAAGTTCTCATAATAAGCTATTGCCAGCCTATTAGGTTAAGTAATAATTCATATTGCTTTTTTTGATTTTTTTTTAATTTTCATTTGCTCTCAAGAGATATTTAAATTCATATAAAGTGACAGTTCACTTAGAAACAAAACTACAGCTGTAAGTCAAGATAACCATGGCTAAATATGTGAAAAAGAAAACTAGCCATAGATTGAAATAAATTTGATCTGGCTAGTAAGATGAAATGTATTAACATCTTGCAGCTTATTACATTAGTTGAAACTTTTGTATTTTAGAGGTTCAAAGAAACAAAGGGGTCCTGTGAAGCTCTGGACTTGATCTGTACATGTACAGCTCTTGCCATGTGGAGATGACTTAAATCTTTTCCTTCTACAGACTACTATGTGGCCGTTTACTTTCCCGGTCATTTCTTTCATCTACTTAATATTCAACATCCAGACCTGATCTGCCACAGTCTATTTCTGACAGGTATGGTTGTAGTTTTTTCTTCACCATCATGATTTGACTTTAGTATTTATGTTTGGATGAGTGAGCGGGAGTTCTTTTTATTTGTTGATCTACTCTTTTTTTTTTTTTTTGCCAGGAAGCAATGAAGTGATTGATATGCTACCTCATAGTCCTTTACAGTCATTGTCAAGCTCCCTGGTACTGGATTGGTGTTCTGGAAAGCTCTATAGAGCACTCCTCAACCAGTCATATTTATTGCAGTTCCTATGGAACACTCACCTAGATTGTGAGAAGATGGCCATGTTGCACTGTATGCTCTCATGTGGCCAAGATACACGGTTCCTGGAAGCCAAGGTGGGAATATAGCTAATGTTTTAAAATTGGCAACTAGACAACACCACCTTTATTTATTTGGTGGTTGAAAATGAACAGAAGTTATTTTTATTTGTTTAGCAATTAATTGAGGTTTATGAATCTGTCCTAACTAGAACATATTCTTTTTTTTTAAAAGATTTATTTTATTTATTTATGCATGCAAGAACTGGGGTCTAGGCCAGAGGTGGGGAGGGAGTGAGAGGATCTACCAGGGACAGAGTAGGGAGCAGAACATGTGGGTTAGTTCCCTGGCAGGGATCGAACTCATGCCCAGGTAGCTGGTGATAGCTTAATAGCACTGAGACTTAACCTCTGCACCAACAGGGAGGCCCCCAAACACATTCTTTTCTTATGCTGATTTTTTATGGATCCCAACCAGATCTCAGACAGTGAGGGGGTATGTATGTGTTCTTTTGAATATTTTATTTCCTATATTGTGAATAAATGTTTATACAGTAACATTCCAAGGAAATGCTCTATTGAGTGAGTTTCTCAAATATCTACTTTTCTTCCTGGTCTATTTTTGATATATCATCAATAGGTTTAAAATATGGTGAAATGTATTAATTACATTTTCAATAAAGGTAGTTCATATTTATATTGCATATTATAGTTTACAAAGCACATTTTCTTTCACACATTTCTTGTCATTTAATTTTTATAGCTTCCCTGTGAAGTCAGAGGAATCCATCTACTAGACTTGTTTGGGAACAGTGGATCTTTGCTTAATTGAACAAGAGCATCTTAAGCAGTTTTTTAACTTAAATCATATAAATTTATATTTATTCACCTACCTTTGGTAGAGATTAAGGTTCTTACTTTGTATATCAGCTAATTGCAGTCAAATGCTCTACCCTGAACTATGCACCCCATATTAGCTAATTGAAGTTCAGAAGCATTTTTCCTGCATAAAACCACTAATGTGACATGCTTTTGAGTCTTTCCAAAGCTTTCAACCTACAATTGACCCAAATTCAACGCAAATTCAACCTACCAACACTTTTTGTGTCCATGTTTCACTTGTCTATAGTAATATTTTATTAAATTACCTAGTTATGAAAATAAGTACAATTAGCATGAATAGTTTTGGAAATAAAAGCAACTTCTTAGTAGGAGCAGAAATGTGAAAGTTCACTTTGGCTGGGCAAGCCTTACAATATCCATTAATTCTAATGTAGGTAATGAGGAGCCTCATTCATCCAGCAGGTAAGGATGTTTATGGAGAGCACTTGAGAGAAGTTGATATGACAGGGGTTTTCTCTCCTTTGGGAGGACATAACAGCAATGCTCATGAAGGTTAAATGATGTAACAATGTTCGCAGTAGTGAATGAGCTGGAATTCAAACCCAGGTCTGCTGCCTTTATGCTAAGAGGTTTGGTTTTGTTTTCTCCTATATTCCGTGGCTCTTCACACTGGTATTTTGCTATATTATGACTTACTCTCATAAAAATAAACAAACTTTGCTTGGAAGAGGGTTTACTTGAAACCTAGCCAAGGGTAATTATTAAAAAGATGAGTAAAAATGACCTCACAGCCTTGCATTACCTATCTGGAAGGTAATGTATTCTCTTCAAATAATGTGTGTTCTTAGATAGTCCAAAGTAGCTATAGAATGAAAAAAATTTATATATATTTTGTACTTCTTTTGTGGTGGGGCAGGGTGCAGATTTAAATGACAACAGAGTTTTCTTTTTACTTTTTAAAGATTATTCAATGGATTTCTGAGAACGTCTCTGCCTGCCATTCATTTGACCTCATTCAGGAATTTATAATTGGTAGGTGTTGCTGATGGCTCATGTTAAGTTGAATACTTGACCTTTTTACTTGAGGGAAGGTAGTAAATTGATAATGCCTCAATCTGTCAAAATGATGGTTAGGAACTTTAAAAAACTCTGTTGAGGTAGGCAGCTAATTAAATTTCATTCTTTTGTGGTTTTCTGAGAAATTGTGGCTGTTCAGAGACTGATGAGATGTAAAAAATAACCATGATTTAACCGTACTAGTGATTTTTTTCAGTAATATGTAACTTTCTTAGCTCAGGTTTGTGTTGATTGGTTCTGTATGAAGTAGTATGTAATGTCATTTGAATAGTAAGTACCAAATAAAATTTTTTGAAATTATTCTCATTGTAAAAAGTAGAATCTGACATCTTAATCTGTAGCTAGAACCATAATAGTTAGCCTTCTGAGGATTTGAAGGATAAGGAAATAAAAACTTTTGTTGATTTGCTTTAGTAGATTTGTGATATACTAAATCTCCTGCTTTATTCTTAAGACTGTCTTAATTTTATGTCTTTTTTTCTTTCAAAAATAAACTCAGCTTCTTCATACTGGCACATATATGCAGAGACGAGTAACATGGATACACTTTTGCCATATTCCTCAGTCCTTACTTGGAATACAGTAAGTTAACATTTTGTATTCCTCATACAATTAAAATTGATTCACACTATCCAGCTATCAAAAAAGATGAACTAGTTCATTTTGGTGATTATGCTAAGTGAAGTAAGTCTGGAAGTGAAAAGCAATTATTGGATGATTTCACTCATTTAGAAACTATAGAAAACCAAAGAAAAACTGACAATACATAACAAAAATAACTCTTAGACTTTGAAAAATATGGTGGTTACCAGAAAGGAGGATGTGCAGGGGGTAAGGAGGTAACATGATGGTGTATTGCCCAGGAACTGTGGTGGACAGCAAGTGAAGAACATGCATGTGATGAGGGGTGAAGTTGTACTTCCCAAATGATAAAATTATGTACACTAATGGCAAATCAATAAAATTTGATTAAAAATTGATTTATAGGGGCCTCCCTGGTGGCGCAGCGGTTGAGTGGTGGGTTGCGAAGCTGCCCGCAGCCTCTACAGTGCAGGTTCGATCCCCGGTCCCACATGGCGCGCAGACCTCTCCTGCCGCCCGCTGCTCCCCTTAGCAGTGTACTTCGGTCCTTCTGCCTGCTCTGCTCTCCGCTCTGGCTCTGGTGAATTCTCTCACCCTCCCGTGCTTCTGACTGTACCCAGTGCTTGTATAAATAAATAAATAAATCTTTAAAAAAAATTGATTTATAGTATTGGGTTGTTGCAGGATATCCCCATCATGACCATCAAGGTTGTGATTTCTTTTATGATTTGACTGATAAGGAGCTGACTTGGAATTTTCTGACAGAAAAATAATAGTGAGTCCTTGGCTATGGGCCAAAGGTAGTGATACAACAATATGATGCTACAGGATATTTGTTTCTCTTGCTGCTACCAAGCAGACTCTTTTGTCATCTTCAAGTGGTATTTTAAATTTTTTTTTTTTTTTTTTAGTGACAGGTCAGATTAGCACCTTATCATCCTTTTCCCAGCCATACAAGAAAAGTAGTAATAACTCAGAGCATCAAGAGCAGTAAAAGTCAGTACTCTTAAGCATACTCACTCCATTCAATCTTTTCTCATTGGTGTGGACTACCTCTTTTTTTCTTATTTTTTTAAAGATTTATTTGTACAAAAAACCAGGGTACAGGCCAGATGCGCAGGAGGGTGAGAGGATTCACCAGAAACAGATCCGGGAACAGAACAGGCAGACTGATGAAATACACTGCTGAGGGCAGTAGCGGGTGAGACAGGAGAGGTCTGCTGGCCATGTGGGTTGCTCTGAGGCCGGTGGGGATCAAACAGGCACTTCAAAGGCTGCAGACAGCTTCATAGCAGTACGCTTAACCACCTGCGCCACCAGGGAGACCCCTGCCTACCTCCTTTTTAATTGGAAGTGTTCGTTTTCTCTTGAACATGGTGCTATAAACTGAACTTTATTAGATGAGAAAGTGAATGCTATGTACAGGCTGTCTCCCAAGAAGTTTCTGCCTCTTTTCCTTTCACATTTAGATGTTAGAACTACACATTTAATCTTGAGACACAGATTTGTATCAAAAAGGTATTTAGGAAAACAAGTTTAATTCAGGAACTTGGACATAGTAAAATATATACTAGGATAAACTGTGACAATTCCCATTTTGTATTTAGACAACTTAAATGCAGTCTTTAGAAAAAGAAGTTTCAGGTATATTTAATTCCTAAAATTTTGATATGCGCAGCAGTAGTGTTTTCCCAAAGATCCTTTCTTCTTGTCTTTTACTGTTAGCTATTAAATGTTCATGCCTCACTATAGTATTATAAGAGAAAAAGAAAGACCTGGGCCTGTTCCTTCTCCAGTCCTGTGCCTTTTTTAAAAAAAACTCTTGTGACTATCATGCAGACTCTGTGGTAACATGGCAGGAAGTTTGCAGGTTAAGCCACCCAGAGCCAGGAAATGTACATCTCAGCTTCCTCCCCTCAGCACCCCAGCCTGTTTGTTTTTGCTCTGCCCCACGTTCAGTGACTGGAGGCTAGGACAGGCCCTCTAGTTTCCAGGGTTTTGTTTAAAGATGGAACATGTGCTAATGGGATGCCTGCTGAGAATAGATCCCAACAGGCAATTTTTCACTTTTGCATTTTTCATCCCTTTGTGGGGCCTGTTGTGGACATGTGCAGTGATGCCAGGAAACCCTATGAGAAACACAGTATAAAAAAACCCAAATTACGACCACCACGTACTGAGCTTATTTTAGGGTTTACCGCATTGCTTGAAGCTTCTTGCGGTTGGAGTCGATTACCTTAAAGGTCTCTCTCATCCTGAAATTGTGTGAAGTCTCGGCTTATTTTTAGCAATGATATAAATCATTTACTTTTCTTTTTTCTAATCTGCAAATGTTCTTAATGCCACACCCTTACCAAACATTTACCACAACAGAGAACATTAATTTCACATTTCTGTATGGAGCTGGGTTATTTCTGTAAATAATTGAACTGGATTTTTTAGAATACAAAAAAATATGGTTATTTTTAAGATACAAGAAAATGTGGTGACACCAAATTGTGGTTTGTAACAGCCTTATTATTCCTGTTTTAAGATGCTATTTATGAACTAAAACTGTAGTGAAATTTTAATACTTTCCTGAAGTTTCCTATGTTGCTGAGTAATGACAGGTGAAGTGCACAGCAGATGCTTATCATAGACTTCCTACTGCCACAGGGGAGAATTGGGTACTTGAATGCTTTGGAAATTATTTCCCTATCACCGTAATGTACTTTTCCTATGGAAAATGAAAAGATAAATTCTGACCTTCGCTAAAGATAAATTCTAAGCAAATACCAAGTTTTATTTTTACGTAACACTTTCTTGATTATTTTATTGTCTATCATCTTATTTTTAGGAAATAAAGATAAATTGACTATTTAAGAGGCTAAAACACATAATTAACATATAAACACACTTTTCACATGACAGTGAGTAAAGGGCAATTTAGGACATTGACCCTTTTATTTAAATTTCTGTTTTAATGTGCACTGGTTAGCAAAATTATAGTTTGGACTTCCTGATAATACTTGCACATCTTTCACATTTGCCATGGTTGTAGTACTGTATAAACCCTTATGAGGATCGTTTATCCCTGAAATTATGGTGAAGGTTGAGGTGCAGAGAAATCTTCCACTAAAGTCATGAAAGAATCACATTAGCCTTGGTCTCTCTAGTGAGGCAGGAGCCAACTATAATACATTTAAAGAAAAGAGAAGGAGAATGTAGGAATTTTAAAAAATGGACCATATTCTCATTATTACACTTGACGGTGCAAATGGTATTTGCCTCATTTGTTCTTGAATGGAAATGAGCAAATAATATCTATTTGGCCTCTGTTTCTTCTTACTAGTCTTCTCCTTTCCTTTGAAGATCCTGTCAACTATTATAATCACAACTTTAAAGAATATTTCCCTTCCCAAGGGAAGAGATAGGCTGTGTCCAGTGTTATTTATATACCCCAAGGTTTATTTAAAGTAGAAGTTAGCAAACTGGAAGCAGCTCTCAGCTTCTGTCTGCAGAAAACACTTCCTGAAGACTTGAGGGTATCATAGTTGTTACATTTACCAGTTGTGGGTATGTTTTCCCTCCCTTAGGAAATTCCTGGAATAACCTTTGTGACAGAAGAGATTGCATTGCCTCTTATGAAGGTAAATCCCTTACAGTGAGACAAAACCACAGACACACGTGGATTCCTTGCCCATCTCCATACTCCACTGAAGTGAAATCTTGGTACCCTCAGTGTTGTAGGGGTTCCAAAAGAGATTGTAATCTGTCAGGGGAGGAAGGGGGAAAGGGGTAGGATTAGTTCTCTAGAAAATCCTACCTAAGTGGCTGAGTAGCCACTAGGGATGATAGTAGGGCAATTCTTAAGACTGTCTTTGAAGAGGGAAGTTTTCTGAAGATGGAGAGCTACAGGGCTCTATGAAAACCATATACACCTAGAACTTGCCACTGTGCCTCCAGACAGTCTGGACTGGAGTTCCTGTAAATTATCTTTAGAGGGCCTGGCAGCTATTTTTTATTGCATTTGTGCTGCTACTGCCTCAAAACACTCTCCCTCTCTCTTTCCCTCTCTCCCACTGTCGCTCTCTCCTTTCCTCCCTCCCTGACCCACCCTCCTTCTACCTCCCCCCTCTCAAAACCATTAAGTAACCTAGGCTGGGATTATCTAATTTCCTTCTGGTTCTAAGAACAGCTTTTCTGTGTCTCAAGAATGACCTGCATTGGCTCTGTGATCTCAGTCAACTTTTTGTACACCACCTCCTCCTTCCTGTCCACTAAGCGGTAGCTATTAGTGTCTTTCTGCAGTCTGGTGGTTTTAGAAGGTTTCTGAATACAATGGGGAAAATGGGGTGGGGTGGGATGAGTAGAAAAGAATATGTATGTAGTTCAAACTAGAGAGTATTTCAGCACTGTTTCCTTGAAACGCCTTTCTTGTTTTGGCATTGCCTCCTGTTAATTATAGCTTGGTGAGTACTGGGAAATCTCAGCTTTTGGCAGCTGGCTGCTCAGTTTGCTGCTGCCTTTTGTTTATATTGATTCTTTTGGATCCCAGTAGGGCAAGGCAGGCCTGGGCAGCTGGGGGGAACGCCATGGGCATTTAAGGTCGGGCTGATGCACTGTGGTAAGATGGGCCAGCACAGGCGGATTTAGTGGTTCTGGGTTGTGGTCCAGAGAAACATCCTTTAAGGAGACACTAACAAGCAAAATTTCTAGGCACAAGATCCCTGTGAAGCTCTACAAAGGTAGGAAGACAAAGGGAAAAAGGTTTGATGAATATTTTTAAAGTTACTTATTAGAGACTCTTTTCATTTTACTGTTTTTGCTCCTACCACTACTCCTACCAGACCCACAGTGTGTTTACTGGACAAGTGATAAACTGGAGAAGAAAAGTTCTAACAGAATTGTCACCCACAATTCTGCAGTTGCTAACAGGCCAATTGCCTATTTCCCCCATTTTGTCTTGTTCTTTGTCACAGGTATGTCTATTTTACCTAGTAGTAATGACAAGCAAGAGATATTTCGTAAAAATTACATGTTATAATGTAAACATTTTGCAAGTTTCTAATGTAAGCTTCATAATTATGACTTCTGATGATGCCATAGACTTCTACTGGCCTTTACTTTTCTCCTTAATAACTCTTGTGAATCTACAGGTAGACTGTGGTAATGTGACAGTGTGCTGTGTCTAATTTACTGAAGCATTCTTCTGTTTTTGGACAGTAATTTGAGTCCAGTCCCAATTAAAAAAATTGTTTTGCTGCTAAAAATAATGTTGCAATGAATGCTTTTATCCATATGGTTTTCAAAAAACAGTTTATTCCTCAAAGATTATAAACCCAGGTTTAAACAAAACAGTAAAACAGTAAAATGAAAAGATAGAGTCTCTAATAAGTGACTTTAAAAATATTAATCAAATCTTTTTCCCTTTGTCTTCCTGCCTTTGTAGAGCTTCACGGGGATCTTGTGCCTAGAAATTTTGCTTGTCAGTGTCTCCTTTAAGGATGTTTCTCTGGTGAAAGGCAATAACAGTATTTATTGTCTTCTCTGGTAAAAGGCTATAATAATATTTATAGTCTTCTATTAAATTTTTTTCAATGAAGAAACGTTGCATTATAACATATAAGTTTCAGGTATGCATTGTTATAAATCAGCATCACATATACTACATCATATATACATCATTAAATTTACTACTAAGAGTTCAGTTATGTCCATCACATATACTTGTCCCCTTTTACCAGGTTTTCTGACACCCTTGCCCACTTTCTTTCTGGTTTTGATTAATTTGGTCTTGTAGTCTAAAAGTTTGTTTTATTTAGTACATTTATTTATTTTGTTTATGTACCACATCTGAGTGAAGTGTAGTGGGGCTTTTTCCATCTGACTTACCCTGAAGGTTCATCCATGTTGTTGCAAATGATAGAAATTTCATATTTTATTTTTTTTCCTTCAGCTGAGTAGTATTCCATTGTGTGTATGTGCCACATCTTGATCCAGTCATCTGTTTATTGGCAGTTCCTTTTCAACTCTTGCCTTTTGTAAATAATGTTGCATTGAGCCTAAGGATGCATATATCTCTTCGATTAGTATTCTGGAATTCTCCAGGTGAATACCCAGAAGTAGGATAACTGGATCATATGGAATTTGTTTTTATCTTTTGAGGAATCTCCATGCTGACTTCTGTAATGGTGGCACCAATTTACGTTCCCACCAACAATGTATAAGGATTCTATTCTCTGTACATAATCTCCCACACTTGTTGTTTCTTATTTTTTGGATAATAGCCATTCTCACAGGTATACTTCTGCTTCTTTTTGCCATATTATATTCAGGAAACTTTGTGATAATTTACCCTATTACAAAGGACTTTTATCAGTTTTATTATAATCTTATCAACATTAAAAAATTAAGTATAAAAGTGATGGGATGCTCTTTTAAACATTTTACCCATTGATTTATTCTAAGAGTACATTTTGGCTTTGTTTTGGATCAAAGTAGTTTATTTTTGTGCACTCTGGTTTTTGTTTTGGTTTTTGGGGCGTGTGTGTGTGTGTGTAAAATGATGTGGGGTTTTCTGGTCATCCATTTTTTTCTCCTTTGCTATTCATTCTGCCTGTTTCCCCTCTGTCCTAAATATCTTTAACATTTTACACAGTTGACAGTTGTTTCCCATTAACCCTTGCCAAACATGCATGGCAGCAGTTTGGTGACTCCACAGCTATCCACATGCTAATAGAAAGCATTATCTGGGACACATATGAACTGTAAATCTCTTCACTATCCTTTCCATACACACAGAATGCATCAGGGAAGGCAGAGGGGTGCTGCCAGGACTATCATGAGGCTCAGGAGAAGGTACTAACTTTGGTTTAGCCAGTTCTCCTGTTACCCACCCCAATAACCCAGCATGGGAGACTGATCAATACCCTTTAGTTCACAGCACACCTAGCCCTAATATCTCATTTGTTCCTCCATCTCTTCTGTACAATATCACTCACTATAAGCTGCTGCCTTTGCCTTTGACCTACTTCTTTTATTCCACCCCCCTGCCCTCCAAAGTCCCAGCTTAATTATATTGTGATGGAGCAGGTTGCCATGGCACCTACCACCCTGTCCTCCTTCCTCTCCAGTGTCCTTGTCATGCTTACTTGGCTTAGAACACCCAGGGACAGAATTATAAGTTACCTTCAAATGTGTGCTGACTGCCAGACTCCATGAGACCCAAGAGACCCTTGTCTGCTCTGACCATATTTGCTGCCATTCTTCTTGGTAGATGACTGCACTGAGGAGGAGTCAGGAGAGGCGAGGGCAAAATGAAACCAACTGAATACTTTTTTCTTGTTCTCTCTGCAAATAAACAGTGTACAATAGAGTTTTTCACACGTTTACTACATGAACTATAATTTAACTGACATAAACCTATTAAGTTAGAAGTTTATCACCTTTATAAAGTGTTTTCAAAAGAATTTTTTCAAAAGATTTATTTATACAAGCACTAGGTACAGTCAGAAGCATGGGAGGGTGAGAGAAATCACTAGAGACAGAGCAGGGAACAAAACAGACAGACTGACGAAGTACACTGCTGAGGGGAGCAGCGGGCAAGACAGGAGAGGTCTGCTGCGCCATGTGGGACCCTCACCAGCGGCCAGGGATCGAACCGCCGCTGCAGAGGCTGCAGGCAGCTTCGCAGCCCAGCACTCGACCACTGTGCCACAAGGGAAGACCCTGTTTTCAAAAGAATTTTAAGCAATTAAACAGGTTTATTGAAACTAGGTTCTTAAAAAAGCAATGTCATCAAAAGTGACCATCCTAAGAATGATTTTACCCCTTTGTTGTAACATATGTCTTTCATAGGAAAGTTTCAACTTTCATAAATGGTAAACATTACCACTGATTTTATGGTGAGAAGAGCAACGATGAAAACTCTCTAACCAAAGGAAGCAGGCAAAGATTAACAGAGAGAGAGAGAGAGAGGAAGAAGGGGGGTATAATGAGCATGCCACAAATAGAAAAATGGAGTTTTTCACCGAAATATTTTTTTTAATCCAGACATCTTTAGTTTACATTTCATAAAGTAAGGGAGCCTTCTATTTCATCATTTCTTTAGAGATCACCTGCCCTAGAGAAGGCCAGGAAGACTTAATGTCTCTTCTCACTTACAGTCACTGGAATGTGAGGGTGTCCCTACAAGTTTTTTTGTTTATCAAGGGCCTAAATATTCCTGAGCACTTGGGAAAAGAGTAGTTGACACTTAGGCTGTTTTCCATTCAGACACTACTTTAATTATGTTTCTTGACTTTAAAAAGTATTTTAAAAATACTGTTTTAAAACCGGGTAGAACTTGCCTATAATTAATTGCTTTATGAAGCAGAAAAGACACTTTTTCCCCTTGACCTTTACTCAATATAGGCAAATAGAGAGCCATCATTACTTAAATAAGAGGTTGGTTTGAGTTTTGAATTATCAACACAATTACAATGTGTAAAAGCTTATACTTTCGAAAAATTAGAAGCATTACTTTGAAAAATCTGGTGCAAGCTGTAGAGCTTTTCCCCAGAAAAGAGCTCAAACACATGCTCCATTTTACATACAGTCTGTGGGTTCTTCCCATGGACATGTCTTATCTGTTTGTTCTCAGGTACAAAAGGCAATCAGGAAAGGAACTTGTAAATAGAGAAGTGTGGAAAAGGAAGGCAATTTGGGGAAGATCTTTTCTGAAGAACCACTCCTAAAACACAGCTTTAGAAGTATGTGAGGGGGGTCTTTTGACAGGAGGAAGTGTTTGGTCAGAGTGGAGGAGGCTAGGTACCAGCATTGCTTCCTTCTGTTATCTTGTCCTGGGCAGGATCCTGTGGACAGAATGATGGGACAGCAGGCAGAGCTAATAGCTTAACTGACCACTAGATGTCACTACAGCACCAATTACTGTGTCTGAACCCAGCCTTAAATAGCAAGAAAGCTGTAGTAGACTGCCTGTCAGGAACCTAATATAGTCAAATGTCAGCAGGATTTGTTTATGTCATTAAAAAAGAAATTAAATACGAGGAAGGCCAAAGGTCAGATAAAGGTATGCTCATCATAAATAAAATGAAAGGGAAAGAAAATAAACAGGATAGGTCAAGTGCAGAGATTGCAGAGTTCTAATTTCCCCTAGAAAGGATATTTTCTTGGAAATAGATTTTCCTGTTGTGGGAATGGTATGTTAGCTAGACTCTCATTCAGACTTATAAAATGTCAAGTTAATATTATTATGTAACTCATTTCACTGAAACTCCAGAATCCATTTTGAAGTAATTGTCACTGTCCATGCAGAAAGATTATGGATGCTCTTATTTAATGTAAGGGTATTTTTTGTGATTGAGGCATATTTTCATTATCTTTTTTCTTGCTGTATTAAATTCAGTATTAATATATCTTTTAATGTGTCATAGCAGGGTTTTTTTTTTTAATCGCCTATTTTCTTTTTTGTATCTTTTAAAAAAATTTTCTTACATCCTTGTTCATTTTTGTGCAGTATCTGGTTTCTCTCCTCAGGTCTAGTCCCCTTAATTCCCCCACTGTCATGTTACCTATGAACCATCACCATAGTCCTTGTGCTCTTCCCTCCCCTGTTTTGACCCCTCACCTCCCTCCCCTGCTGCATGCAGATCTATGGTCTGTGTGCAAGTTTTGTCTTTTTCCTGACCCTTTGTTCAATTTCTCTGTATTATACCCATAAGTGAAACCATCTAATATTTTTCTTTTTCCTTCTGACTTACTTCACTTAGCATAATTCCTTCCAGCTCCATCCATACCACAGTAGGTTTTAGCTTACTTTGTTTTCTGGCCATACGTTGTCCTCCTATTCCAGTCATATCTTTTACAAATGCATATATTTGGGCAGGAAAGTGTATATCATAAGCCGCTCTCCACTGATTTGAAAAACAAGTTGTGGTGTTCATGTGTGTAGTGTGGTAAAATACAGCTGAACTGGTGTGAATCTGTTTCCTTAAATCATACAGTGTTGTAAATCAGTGTTACCCCAACAAAAAAATAATACTTTAAACAATTTGTGTTACTATATCCCTCAGCATTAAAGATATATTAATACTGCATTTTATTTTCAAGTGAAAATAATGAAAAAAAATAAAACAAACACAATGGGCAATTCTGTCTTTGGGGTAGGACAATTAATATGTCAATGACCTAACTAGGATGCCAACTCATTCTTTTTTGGAGTATTAGACAACTGAAAGTGAAACTAGTCTACTTTACCTTTCTGAATCCTAGCTTTGGAAAAGCCCATTTGGAAGTATATAAGCTTAGTGAGAAAATAAACCTTTTTCACTACTCCAAATTTTTCCAACTTAACATGGTATTGTTGGCACAACCTAAGTCAGAAAAATTGGTCTCTGGGGAGGAAGTGACTTGGTATATTTAAGACAGGCTTCCCACTTAGCCTTAACCTAGGGGATCATACAGGCCTTGCGAGTGAGCAGCGGCTCTCTCTTGTCAAAGGGGTGGGGGGCTGAGGAGAACGTAAAGTGGGGCAGGCAAGACTCTTTAAGTCTCTGTTTTAGAGAGAGAATCTATTTCCGTTTGACATGGAAAGTATTGACTCAGAAATACTGCCACCCAAGAACTCTCTAAGGAGACCTCAGCCTTGTGGCAAAGCTTGCATGTCTCTGGGTGGATTGTTTGGGCCACAGGGCCAGTTTCTCAGGCTCTCCAACATTTTTGTCTTCTATAGGTGCATAACTTCAAGGGATACTGGGAAAAACTGAATTCCAACCTGGAATATGTTAAATATTCCAAGCCACACTTACACTATAACAACAGCATGGTCAAGAGAGAGTGGCACAGCCTGATTTCAGAAGAGGTATGTGTTTGTTCGTGAAAAGAAACCAAGAAGCAGAAGCAGAGTGTATGCGATCCAGGTGATGCCTGTAAGTCATAAGGCTGGCTTCCACTTGCAGCACTCTCCCCAGTGCCAGGCACTTCACAGTGTCACTCCTGATCTCTCATTAGGCAAGCAAAGGTGTGTCTCTGATTTCTGTTCTCTTGAGGAGGAAACTCAAGTGCAAAGAGGTTACGAGAAACATAGCACATTCATGGTAGAAGTAGGATTGGTAGTATGCATGTCTCTGATATGTACTTGCATTACGTGGACAATGAAAATTAATTTACAAAAAAATCTAGGTGTTTCCAAATTGTTAGGGATTAGGAATAATTGTAAGAATAGTGGATGTGAGTGATTGTAAAGGATTAGCAAAAGGGAGATCTTTGGCTGATGGAACAGTTCTATATCTTGATTGTGGGAACAAATTGTAATACATCACTCTGCACCTGTGATAGAATGACACATTTTGATATTCATTTTTTGATTTTTATATTGCACTACAGTTATTTATATAAAATGTGAACACTGGGGAGACTGGGTGAAGGACACATGAAATCTCTCTGTGGCATTGTTGTAGGTAGTTTTGGTGTTATAAATAATATGTAGTTGACTAGAAACTTCCTATAAGGCTACAACAGTTTTAGAATAAAACTTAAACATTTTTGTAAGAGTCCAGGTTTTCTGATTATTTGGAAAGTATATTTCTTTTTTCTGAAACAAATTATATTCATTATGCCCTTGATGTGAAAAATGTCACCCAGAAAGCCTTCACCTTTCCACACCTCTGTATTTTCTCACTCCTAGAAAACAGGAGAAAAAAGGCCCCTGGCATATGTGAGGAATATTCTTGATAATGCAATAAAGTAAGTACAACTAGGAATTAACTGTATGTGTCAGACAGTAGTCTTTGACTTGGTTGGCTGCCTTCCTCTGTAAAATGGTTCTTCATGAATGCCACTACCTGGGTCCTATTCTGAAGTGTATTGCTGCTATTTTCTAGTAGTAAAAGTCTGTTTGTCAACCTGTTAGACTTACATGCTAGGGATGGATGATTTACAAGGGACAAGTAACAAGTGATAATGAAAGCTCTTATTGATTGAGCATTTTGGTCAGGGCGGGTATGGACAGTAGTTGATTTTCACAAAGTTCTAGTGGGCTAGTGAACTTACTCTTATTTTGAAAGTCTGTTTCCCAGATAGATAAATCACTCAGGCTGCTCCAAGTACAGGCCCCATTCCAACCCCTATTTTATATTCTGTTCCCATCATTTGCAATAACTGAGAGCTGCTATTGTTCTAAATTATTGCTGGCCTTTGCTCTGAAACATTTTGAGATTTTATAATTGCCTAATGTGGTTTTTGCCAAGTTGATTAAAGTTTTTGAGGTTTTTAGCAGTCTGAAAAACCGCTTCTGCAGTTGTTTTATGTCTTTTGAAATGATATCTTTATGTAGTGGTATAGCTTGCTTTATTTTTTCTTTTTTACAATGCTTCCTGTGTGAATAACATTGGCCAATTTCTTTGTAGGGTGATTTCAGACCTAGAAACAAGGAACTTGGGTAAGAAAAGATTTGTAATAAATTATGCCTTCTGGATTTCAGTCAATGTTTTGTGTGGAACACTACTCTTACTCTTCATTTCTCGGTGGGTTAGCAAGAAAATCACTTCCAATTGTGTAAAGAAGGCAGTGCCCGCCCACATCTTCTAGTTTGAGTGCTCCCTCACTCCTCCCATGTCTTGGCAGGACCTTTGGAGGCAGCTGCTAGATGTGCTTTTGCTGGAGGAGTCCCAGGATGCTGGCCCTTTGTTTTTCATCCTTTTCTGTATTTACTTCCTCTAAGTAATATGCCCTCTGACTCTTCTCGAAGGAGACACTTCAGCTATTCTCTTGGCTTACATGCTAAGATAAGGGATCCCGTTCACAGTCTGATCATACTTCTATGCCCCTTTCATTGTGTTAACACTTGGGGACTCACTGGACTAGGTCAGAAGGGTGCAAAGATGAGAAGCCTCTAGGTAGGCGGTGTAGTTATAAGCAAGAGTGCAGGTTTGAGGCGGACAAAAGTGGACTTAATATCCAGTTTGGTCACATAATTGCACTCCTGGTCAAGCTATTTATCCATTTTGTGCAGTATTGTGTATTCTTCTCCTCAGAACTGGGTTAATGAGTAAATGGGGTGGTATATATAGCACCTGGTACAATGCTTGGCTCATGTGGGAAACCTGAGGTGACTTCTTGATCATTAGTGTGTGGGGGAAAAATGCTAACATGTAATTTTCTAAGCCAGGAAGCTTCGTACAGTGGAGAGAAGGGAGGGCCTTTGTAAGGAGTGGGGATGGTTGAGAGAGAGGGAGGTTGGAAGAACTTTCCAGAGGGGACAACATTAAGTCTTGACAAACCAGGGGAACTTAACCAGGTAAACTGGGGGAAGAGAATGCTAAGCATATTCAGGTACAAGATTTTTTATGGTTTTGTCAGCAGAACTCTTTCATGCCTCATAAAGATCAGCCTTCATGAAAAAAGCTGTTCTTATGCCCCATTTCTGTTTCATGAGCCTCGATGTTGAGCTATATGTTGGGTAACCATAATGAAAATAACTTTATGTGGTGTGTTATTGCGCATTCCACAGCTGTGCGCACATCTCACATGAACTGTGACAGTGAACTTGTCCAGCCCAGTTGGACAGAGCCTATGCTCACTGAGCAGCCCTGAGGTACCAGCCTCTTCCTGTGTTATCAGGCCATCCATGCCTGAAGCCATGGGTTCTGCCACTAGTACTAGGCCGAAGCAGTTGACTGGAGACCTACCTAGCAGAAAAAGACATGGATATGTGGGATTCAGGCTCCTTCTCATGTAGATAGGGGTTTTGCAGTATGAGAGGTTGAGCTTTCTGTTGTGTCCGTCCCTTCTGTTCCCTGATAGACTTCCTCCTGCTCTTGTATTTGAGGCCTATTTGCATCCAGTTACTAGTTATTCTTAAAGCACTTTCGGGAAATTGCCCCTTCCTCCCACATGCTTGCTGGTGCTAATTTCTGGGTAAGATGCTGTCACTGCCAGAAACCAGAATATTTCTTGAAATTCAGGGCTGATGGGCTCACATTTTGAATGGTTTCATCTTAACTATCAAGGTTGTGTAGGATCCAAGTAGGATTTTTCCTGTGGGGTCAATAGGCGTCTGCCCTCTCACACGGAGTTGTCAGTTTGATGACCAGGACAGTCCTGCTCTCATGGTGAGCCCCCTGCCTCAGGTGTCCAGGAGAGAAAGTGTGGGGCATAAAGATGCTGTTAGGAGTGTTAGGGCAGATCTTCCCATGAGGCAGTGTTTGCCCATCCAGTCTTGCTTGTTCACTGCAAATTCTTGATGCACAGAAAGATGTAACCATTGATTTAGCCTTATATACCACTTTTCCACCTTGGTCCAGTTACTTTTCAGTTCAATAACTTGTGCCAGTTAGTGTTATTTGTCACCCCGATTGATCATTCCTCTCAGTTCAGTAACTCCCAAAGTCACTGAACTAAGGATATCAGAAAGAAGGAAGTCTCCCATCATGTCTTTTTCCTGGGCTTGGAGCCTCTCAAGGTTAAGAGAGGGCCCACGTGCTTGTGTTTCCAGTGAAGCAGAAGCTCTTAGACAGTGATGAGGCTTGCTGAAGAAAAATCAGTCAGAGCCTGTTCGTGTTGAGAAATGTGGTCCTTGTTTTCTTTCCCTCCTGGTTTCTATCTTCGCTCACAGAGCTGTCTGCATATCACCTCGCAGGACTATGTCATGCTTATCGAGTGAAAAATTTTCATCCCATCAGGGAAGTGTTATAGTTTCCAAGTGGCTCAGAAAAGGGAAACCTGGGCTAGTTCCTCTTTCCTCTGCCCATTTCCTGGAAACCACCTTGTTTGTCTATTTAATTTCAGAGCCAAGATTAATACCCCTCTTCCAGGAGGAGGACAGGCACCAGCGGCTACTTATAGGACTGGTAAGTGCTTGTGGTCTGTGCAGGTACCAGCAAACACTAGGCTCCAAAAAAAGGGACAAGAGCTAGATGGTGCTTCTCATTCTGATCTTAGTTTTCATTCATTCCTTCAACACATAGTTGTTGCCAGCTGCCATAGGCTCTGTGATAAGCAACACACAAATGATTTTTGCCTTCTTGCTTCTTGGAACTTATAGTTAAATATGAGAGAGACATGTTAATCTATAACCCCAATCAATATATAATCACAAAAAACACCCTAAGGAAATGTGTAGCATTGAGAGTTTAAAATAAAGAATTTGTATTGGGCATTTATATTTGGGATTTAAAACACAACAGAATAAAGTGATCCTTCTCTCAGCTCCTACTACTAAGAAGACCAAAGAAATAGAAATAAAAATAAATTGATTGAAGAACTTAAATAAATCCAAAATGTTTTAAAAATTGAAGAGACATCTGGAAAGTCTAATAAAATGATTTTAATACTGTTCAGGCTTAGAATGGGATAATCTGTCCTCAGATATGACAAATTGAAAAATAAGAGAAAAACTTGTATAAATACATATTAATACACTTGAAAATTAAAGTTTTAAATAATCAAAGATTATTTCCCAAAGAGACCCAAATTATTTAATTGTTTAGTTCTTTTAAACTTTTAAGGACAAGATCAATCCCCTGTTATGTAAAAAGTATTTTTGAAAAAAGATGAGTGCTTCTCAATCACTGTAAAAAGCCAACATAACCTTAAAGCCAAAATCTGGCAATGACAAGTTTTACTTATGAATATAAATATCACTGACTTAATTAAAATACTTTCCTGTCATCTGTCTGAAAATACAGCTTAACTAAGTGGGACTCTTTCTAGAAAAGTTTAAAAAATAAAATACACAAAATGTTAATGTAGGTGATAGGATTATGGGTGGCTTAAATTTTCATCTTTATGGCTAGTGTAGAAAAATTGAAAAACACACAAAAAATTGTATTTTAAGCAGTAAAAAGTTGTTTTTCCCAAGAAAAATCAATTAGCTCATGCAGAAGATTGAACTAAAATAATGTGCTTGCCCCAGAAGGCCACAACTAAGTTTGCCTCATGGTGTTGTTTGGTTCAATCTGTAAAGCAAATAGAAGATTATGCAAATGTGACATCAGTTGTGCCATCCCCACTACTGGTTGTAGGGACAAAGCTCTCCCTGGCCAGGGAGCCTCTAACTAACTGATCAGGGCATCTAGGAAAAGGTGGAAGGGTGGGGAGGAGAAGGAGGAGGCAGGAGGAGAGAAAAGCAAAGGCCAGGAAGGCTGGGCATGCCCCTCTCACTGGGGACACCAAAGGAGGATTAGAAGAGAGCAGGGTTGAAACAAGCCTGTTAGGAAGCCCTGGGATGAACATTTCCTGAACTTTGCCCGTCAGGGGCTGGAAGTGATCCCTCGTTTAGACTTGCTTCTGCTTATTCCCCAGGGCCACGAGCAGACTTTAATCCTTTGGTAGATCCCAAAGCCTTTGACTTCTTAGTGACCTCCACTAGCTTCTTTAGAAAATTTATCAGGGCTGAGAGCTTCTCAGTGGGCTTTGGATGAAATATACGTAGTTCCTCTTGAAGAAAACTCCAGATTCATGACCATCAGAACAACTTTGTGGGCTCTGTATTTCTGTAGCATCTTCACACACAATACTTTTTTTTTTTAAGATTTATTTATTTTTATACAAGAGCTGGGGTACAGGCCAGAGGCACAGGAGGGTAAGAGGATTCACCAGAGACAGAGCAGGGAGCAGAACAGGCAGATGACAGAAATACACTGCTGAGGGGAGCAGCAGGCAGAACAAGAGAGGTCTACTGCATCATGTGGGTTTCTCGCCTACCAGCTGGGATCGAACCCGCACTGCAGAGACTGCGGACAGCTTCACAGCGTGGCCCTCAACCCACTGCACCACCGGGGAGGCCCCACACCCAATACTTTTTATATGATAAGGGATGTGACTTCCCATCACAAGTAGTCATAGGTAGGTTTTGACTTATCCCATATCCTTTTTTTCCCAGATGGTGACTGAGCTAAAAGATCATCTTTTGAGACACCTACAAGGTGTAGAAAAGAAGAAAATAGAACAGATGGTTCTGGAATACGTTTCAAAACTGGTTGGTTTTACTTTCTTGTCTTCTACCCCTTTGCCCCAGTATATAGTTTCTACTATGTGGTTCAGTATGCTTTTTATTTTTTTTTTAAGATTATTTATTTATACAAGCACTGGGTACAGTCAGAAGTGCGGGAGGGTGAGAGAATTCACCAGAGCCAGAGCAGGGAACAGAACAAGCAGACCGATGAAATACACTGCTGAGGGAGGGGAGCAGCGGGCGTGGCAGGAGAGGTCTGTTGCGCTGTGTGGGACCCTCGCTGGTGGCCAGGGATGGAACCTGTGCTGCAGAGGCTGCAGGCAGCTTCAAAGCCCAGTGCTCAACTGCTGCTCCACCAGGGGAGGTCCTCAGTATGCTTTTTTAAATTAGATTTTTGGAGGCCTCATTTTTTTTTTTTCTTTTAAGATTTGTCTTATTTATACAAGAACTGGGGTACAGGCCAGAGGTGCGGGAGGGTGAGAGAATTCACCAGAGACAGAGCAGGGAGCAGAACAGGCAGATGGACCAAAAACACTGATGAAGGGAGCAGCGGGCGAGACAGGAGAGGTCTGCCGTGCCATGTGGGTATCGCCCTCACTGGCCGGGAATTGAACCTGCACTGCAGAGGATGCGGACAGCTTCACAGCGCTGCACTCAACCTGCTGCACCACCGGGGAGGCCCTGGGCCTCCTAGTTTTAAACCAGTGCATTTGGCAGATTAGATTAGGGAAAAGGGGAAAAGAAGAACCAAAAAACAAAGCGAACTTGCTTTTCAAAGTGGTTTATTGTGCTTTCCTCAAATAGTGATGATATGCACGTGAAAGCAGAGAACAGCAATGAATTTAGCCTGGCTGCCAACTGTTCATATCTCATCCTGAAATCTTCCAGTTCTTTATTAAATAGTAGGTAATGATTTCTGTACATGGAGGTTGATGTAGACATGAGATAACTTGAATTTCAATTCTTAATTAGTGTTAACAGCCCAATTAGGCCAGATTCCAATTCAGTTGTATAAATACTACCATATTAGTAGGGTCTACTAATGAGATTGGCAGCTCGTCTAACTTGTAGCCACTTATTGGAATGGTGTGACCCAGATTACTAACATCAGTCCATGTGTAAATAAAAGTGATGTGGCTGGATTAAATTTTGATGCTATTGTAATAAGTCTTTCAAGAAATATAAGGAATTGAGGCCTGATCTTACTAGAGCTCAGCAATAATATGCTGGATAAATATTTTAAAGTAAATAACTAGAAAGAAAAAGAACACACTGTAATTTCTCTAAGTTTGGGTATGACCAGTTTGCAAACAATCTAGTGTATAAACATGTATTTTTGCATTGAAGATTAGTGAACACTATTAGATATGGCCCTGATTTAATTTAGTGTTTAATTTTAAAGTTTTCTGCCTTTGTTGCAGTCATTAGTATCTGTTTTTAGTATTAATATCTTTGAATTTTGATATTAAGTCTTGAATTTCATAGTTCTTAACCTAATAGGGAAAGTTAGTATTCCCATACACTGATATTTATTATCAGGGCATTGAAACTTTATTAAATAAGTCTGTTTTGCAGTGGATTCATACTGAGGGGCTCACTTTGTGAATGTGTAAATGATAATCTCCATGTTGATATTAACATGTTTTCTTAGCCCTGTAACTAACAACACACAATTATTTAATTCATCTACTTACCACCTTTCTTTCTGTTGACTTTAAATTTCACTTCCCAAAGTGTTAAGTATTTTTGTTCAGTCATCATTCTTCCTGTTTAATAGTAGTTTATATTAACCTCTAGAACCAATTTGATAAGAAATGGAACAGATGTAGTCTCAGAAAGCCCAGTGCCCCTGGCACTCCCACTCATTTCCTGTCGCCCCTGTCCAGCAGTAACCTGCTAGGTCTCCCAGTCCTCTCTCAGGAGTGTGGCTGGACAGACTTTCTAAAACAAGCCCATGAAGTTGCTGCAGAACCTGACTATACTGCTAGTGTTACCTTACCTAATTTCAGCCAAAGAGGAACTGAGAATCTGTATCATTGAGAATAAATAATATTTGTCAGTGCCTGTATGATGACCCTTTCTGATTTGCCTCCCATCTTTAGCCTACATGTGCACTGCTTGGATTCATGGCTGATAGCCGCTCTGTGGTTGACTGCCTGGTTGCTGACAAATGAGTATAAAATGTCAAATTTGAACTTGAAACCAGTCTTACTTCATAGTCCACCAGTATTATTCCACAGCCTGTGCTTTGTCCTCCCTTGTATGATGACCCCTTTCCTCTGTCAGCTGTTGACCCTTGCAGCAACAAGCCTAGAGCAAACCCAGTTGCAGTTGGCTTTCCCTGACAGATGAGAGTATGTGATTGTGATGATGGGGGCCAGTTAGCCAAGCTGGGGAAGCACAGCTGGGGCACTGCCCACACAGACAGAGATTGCTCTATTAGACTCTGGAGCATGTGTTCAGTTTTTCCATTTTGGATTCCAGAGTCTCAGAATTGACCTCAGAAAGTAAATATCATCTGCCCTAACATGCCTGCCAGGCTGGTGGAGAGATAGCTCCAGGAGGGCCTGAGGGAAAGATTATTAACAGAGGTTAATGGGCTGTCTTTGTCCTCTAGCTGGATCTCATTTGTCAAATACTGGAAGCCAGTTGGAGGAAACATAATCTTCATCCCTGGGTTCTCCATTTGTACGCAAGTATTTCTCACTCTCTTGTCATGATGTGCAAAGAACCACAACAACTCTGATTGCTACCTATTTTAGCAAAGCATTTTTTGAAACTTACCAGTTGAAAATAATTCTCACAAACAGTGAAACTATCTGAGTTCTGTACCCTGAATTTAAAGCTATGCACTGTTGCTTCACCCATCTTCTTCCCCTGGCATATTCGTTGGCGAGGAGGAAGAGCATGTGCTCAACACTGGCAAGAAGGGGGATTTAAGTGAATACAATTTATCACCCATGAGTCTGCCATCTAGGTATTAGGCTGATGGTCACCATCATTTCTAGGAAACTTTCTGCAGGGCTACTCTTTCATGATTATAATGATTGCCTTCTGCATGTGGTTCCAGAACCACTGCTTAGTACACATGAGATTTTGGAGATGACATGCTATTTTGTTATTTTGCCTAGCAACAGGCAGGCAAGTGTGGCTGAATTTGAAGTCTTTCATATCATGACCAGGATTTTGGAAGCTACTAACAGTTTGTTTTTACCTCTGCCTCCTGGTAAGTCTTGGCTCTTTTGTCTTTCGTCGGGTTAATTTTTTTCTCTTTTTCTGTGGACTTTGCATGATTTTGTGAATGAAAACTCCCGAGTGTGAGAAATTTTGTGTCTGGTGTCTCTGTGACAGGTGCCCTGAGGTTGGTGTCTGCTGACTGAATCTCGCCCAATTATGAAACTCTACTATAGTTCTTCACTAATTCTGAGGAGCTTGGGCTGATCCCCATGCAGTTCCTAGGATTAAACCAGTAAAGCTGATCCAGAGAGATATTTCTCTGAGGCTTCCAGACCTAGTTTATTTGATTGCAATATCTGAAGGTTAACACTCAGAAGGAAGTGGGTCTGGCTGGATGTCAAGAATTGAGCTGATTCTTACATGTTTGGAAGCTAAAAGTTTCTCTGAGGATTTGAAATAGGACCAAATCAGGTCTCAAAATACCCTTGGAACATGTGAATGCAATCATTCATTTAATCGATCATTTGTTCATTCAATCAAACATTTGTTGAGCAATTACTACATGCCAGGTACCATACTAGAAATTAGAGCAGTTGCAAAACTTAACAATCTAATTGGGAAGAGTGCATATAAGTCAATATTCATTATAAGAAACCACTAAGTTCCTGTATGCTATAAACTATGTGTCTTATGTTCATTACATATATGTTCTGATGAGTGTTAAACTTTATGATAGCTATCATAGCATGATATATATCAGCCGGTTTTATGTAAATCTATCTATCCATTCATCATGAATTCATTCTTTTATGCATTTATTTACAGTCACTATGTATCTGGTAAACATTTTATGCTAGTGCTGTTATAAGTACTTTGCAAAAATTAGCACATTTCTATTTTTATAACAGTACTGAGTGGTAGGAGCTTAATTGAACCACCTTAAATTGTCAAAACACAACCAGTTGTTGTCTAATAGAAATGATACAGTTTTGCTTCATGTTACTCATACTTTATAGATGATGAAATTGAGGCATAGAAAGATTAAATAACATTTTTTTTCAAAGTCATACAACTTCTAAGAAATAGATGTGGTATTCAAATCTGGCCCCAAAATCTGTGCTTTAACTACTATTCTGTGCTGCCTCTTGAATTTTATCTTCCTGTAGAATTTGTTGATATTGAAACATTAGTTATTTATGGACCCAGAAAATCTCCATACTATTTCTCAGCTTCGCTGCATTTGTGATCAGTCTGATAGAGTATGGAGCCCTTCATGCTCTTTCTACTCATACAGCTATACGAAAGGAATTTCTTTTAACTTTGCAGAGACCTGGGAAAATGGATGGTTTTAAGTTATTCCAGTGGAATATGAATTGTGAGGTGCTTATAGAAATAAAGGGATTTCATGAAAAGTATACATGACTTTATAGCTTAAGTTTTTAGTTTTTGTCATTAATATGAAATATTTGGTAGAGGAATTGCACTTACAGATTTGTTTACCATGGATGTTCAAGCTCCTTACATAGATAAATAAAGCTGACTTACTGGGGACAGTATTATACCTGATAGAATATAAAAATGCACATTCTACAGATCATCACATTCCTTAACGGAGATGGATAAAGAAGGGGAAAGGTAGAAAGATGCTGCGCTTTCCAGGCTTACTGGACTAGTGAGATTTGCTTGATTTCCAGGTATTAGAAACCTACCTAAATGATTTTAAAAAAATGGAATGAGCACCACAAAAAGGAAGTGATGGTTTAGAGCTGGAGTGTTTGCAGTTAAAAAAGGGACCTTTGTTGCCCTTGCTGGTAAGAGGAAGCCAGAGCCTTAGCTAGAGGATAAGACAGGAGTTGGCTGGAAAAGTTCTCTATTTTGGAACTGATGTCCACTTTTAGCCAATTTTTTTTTACTTAGGGCTGTGTGCAGAAAGGACGCCAAGAACCAGCAGCTGACTTTGGGACTATGCCCTCGGAATAGAGGGTAAAGTGTCACAGGGAACTTTAGGACATGAACATAGGACTGGGAAAGGAATCCATAATCTTTTATAAAATTTTCAGAAATAAATTTATACCTTTTTAAACTTGGGAATATTATTCAAATACATTTAAAAGATCTCATGTTGATTAGCTAATAAAATGACTTTTTTTTTTTTTTTTTTTTTTTGGATTTAGGGAAGCTAGTGTATTAACATCTGCTTGTGGGCAGAGTCTGTACTTTGTCTGACCTTTGGTGTTGCCAGAACTTGGGACTCAAGTTCCACATTGCTCAGGGTTCGTGAGCTGAGAGAAAACTCTGTGATTTCTGAGTCCAAGATCTCCTGCTCTTTGGCTATCATTTCTTTGTCATAAACTTCTAAGATTGGCTGTGGTTCTTTGTCATTTCCCATCCACATCTAATCAGGTTCCAAGTCAGTATATGTTACTGTGTAGCTCCAATCCCTTCTTCTTTGCTGTCATCACCCTCATTACCTCTTGCTCAGGATCATGCAGTAAGCTCCCAGTAGGTCTTCACACCTTGCTTCCCGTCATTCTTCTTACACACACTCAACTGGACCAGTGCTCGCTTTGGCAGCTCATATACTCTAACCCAGTGGACCATTTAATCTTATCTGAACATGCGGCCTACTTTTTCTTCTTTGGGCCTCTGTTCATATTGTTCCATTAACATAACTACTTGTTATCAAAGCCTGATAATGTTATAGTTAGAAGCCTAGGCTAAAATCTTACAGCCTCGTTCAAATTTCAGCTCTGCCACTTACTAGTTATAGGATCCTGGGCATGTTTCTTACCTCTTGTAAATTTAAATTTTTTGCCATTTATAAAAAGGGACACCTGGTATTTCCCACCTCATGGTGAATCTGGCTTGGAGGGGCCCAGGAGCCAGAGCCCAAGTGGCTTTCGGAGCTTATGTTTTTGAGTAAATAATTCAATGTGGAGACCAGAGTTGGGCAGAAAAGCAAGAATTTGATTGGAAGATAAAGGACAGGAAAGCTGCCTAAGCAGGGAGGGGTCCTGAGTGGGTAGCTGCCGAGGGGGCCAAAGTAGGCATTTATACGAGTATAATGGGCGAGGACTGGAGGTTTGGCCAAATAGTGCCTCGGCATTGTGTCTCATGCTAACTGGTTGAGGCCCATGGGATCTCCTAAGTTACTGAGCCTCCCGGGTTACCTGACCAGCTCTCCTAAAATGAGCCTTGGTCCATTGCTTTGGCATTGTCTTATTGTGTTGGTGTTCTGAACTTTCAATTTTTCCCTGGGTTTGGGGCACCCTGACTCCAACCACCTTTTTTTCATTCAGTCTGATAGGTGGCTTGAGGCATCATGATCCTGACTCACTGCCTGTGCCCATCTCCTAAATTCCTCATTCAGTGGTGTTACACGGAGTACCAAGTGAGTCAGTGTGTAGACTGAAGGCCTCAATACATGTTTGATATTAGTCACTGTTACGCCATGTGTGAGGCCCTTTGCACACCTCACTCTAGTTCTCTGAACAGCCCAGCAGGGGAGACTGGGTCTCCACTTTAGAGCTAAAGAAATGGGAGCTCAGAAAGGCTTCATTACCTACTTCTAGTAAGTGGCCGAGCAGGAGTCTAGCCAAGGCTGCTCCATCAGGCCCACTTTTTCTATTCTCTCCACTCACTGTATGGTCTCACCTCATTTCCACTCCCAGGAATTGTGTCTACCCTTCAAACCTCCCCTCACATACCATCTTTCCCAAGGGTGAGTTTTCTGATTCTCCCTGGCTGGATGTCTTCTTCTTCCATGGGTGTTTTTATTGTTTATCAGAATACTTAGTACTCTAGATCTGTGAGGGTTTGGGTAGCCCTCCCCACAACATTTTCAGTTTGAGAGAGTGCCTTCCTCTCTATTGAATTCCTGAGAATTTGCTCTCTGACCCTATTGTTTTAATTCTTTTTTTTTTTTCTATAATTTGGTGCAATTGGATCCCAAAAGCCTTTCTCGGGGGCATACTGAGACATCAGGCATATCCACTATTCCCTTCTGACCCAATTTTTACCCTTCCATCAATTTTTTAGCCTAGGCATATGGAGTTTGAAGCTCTTGTGCTATTTTTTCTCTTTTCCCATCTTACTGTAGAATTGCAAACCCATTCAAATGTAAAAACATTTTGCATTGAGCAGACCTTGCCTTCTTTTTGCCTAGGAGAGGACACAAGGTGAAGGGAACATGTACTTGTTGGGAACTTACTACATATCCAACACAGTATTTAGTGGTGATAACACAGAGAAGGAAGTTTGGGCCTTGTCATCAAGTAGCATTTATTTGACTCATGGTGTCAAGCACCGCACTGAGTGCTTTTTTAACATTACCGAGTTCATTCCCTCTGGAAGGCTAGAGATGCTGGCTGACCCTGTTACCCTCTGCGTGTCTCATCCTAGGTTTTCACACTCTGCATACCATTCTTGGTGTCCACTGTCTCCCTTTGCATAACCTGCTGCATTACATTGATAATGGAGTGTTGCTTCTCACGGAAACAGCTGTCGCAAGGCTCATGAAAGGTAAGAGGCTCAGGCTTCCTGGGTGTGTATAGTCACACAGGGCCTGGCTGCACTGAGAAGGGCCCTGAGATTTTTAACACTATATTAAATCTTGAAATTCTTAATATTTGAACCAAATGCTCCTCATTTTCATTTTGCACCAGGCTTCAGAAAATATGCAGCTGGTCCTACTGAATGCACTTCATTTCCTGTAATCACCCTATTGCACCGATTTTAGTGCCTTAGCCCTTCAGAAGGCCCCAAAGGACTTCTGAATCCACACGTAGCTATAAAAATCCACCCCCCCTTTTTTTTTACATGAGGCACTTGAGTACAGAAGATTCATTTATAGTATAATCATCATCACTTATTCAATCGTAGTCTTTTATTAATGACTTTTGCTAATAGTTATTAAAGTATTTGCCATTCTTCAAGGGGCCTTCTCCTTTAAGTTACTCAGTAAAAATTGCTTTGTGGCTGGCAGCCTATTTCCAGGCCATATCCCATTATATCTAGAAACAGCTTCATTAAAAAATCTCTTTTTGTTCAGAGAGACACAAATTAAAAATTTCAAAGCATTGTTAAACTTCGCTTGAAATACAGGGTTAGGATGTGTGTTAGCAGGATGAACCACGGAAGTACTGTTAGCTTGCTCAGTATTAATGTGGAGATTTCTGATATTTTTGAGGTTTTGCCAATTTCTTACTTTCTTATAGATCTGGACAATACAGAGAAAAATGAAAAACTAAAATTCAGCATCATTGTGCGACTTCCTCCGGTAATCCTGAATTATATTTTGTTTTCTCCCTAAGCCTTGGCATGGACCTCCTACAATTTCTCCTGTAAGAAGAGCACTTATGTGCTTTGGGCTAAGTCAATTAAACTGCTTCACTTTTCAGCCCTTTCCAAGAAATCCCATCCATTCCCACCCCTGAGCTTCTGCTCCCCACCAGGCCTGGATCGTACTTGCTGCTCTGGCTTAGTATTGGCCTTGGCACTCTCACCAAGAACATTTAGCCAGTTTCTCCTCTTAGGAAACCACACTAATATTTACATCTGTGAATCTGAGGGCTGGGAGAGGGGAAACATGTGCTTTTGTTATTTAGCTGATAAGAAAGTTAAGTACAGGTGAGGTCAGAAGGTTCTGGAACTGTATTTCCTCCCACTGTCATTTCCCCCACAGCAGGAAAACATCCCTGGGTTAAAGGAAGAATGAGAAACATGAGGGACAGAGTTGTACAGGCAGGCACTCCCTGTTTTTGTGGTGGATATTAGCCATTTGCATTAGAAATAGTATGAAGATAGGCAGTTCTGTGGCAAGGTCTTCAGAGCCTGTGACTCTGAACTTCCTACCCTGAGAGCCTCCTTCAGCTTGTTTACAGACCTTGAGTACTGGTGTCTCTGGCACAATCCTCCCTCGAAGGGATGTCTGTTGCCTTCTGGATCTAATCGTCTTGCTTCATAACACACTCTTCCCCTCAAAGGCTTACTAAAAGCAAAGGCAAGAATAGAAAACAAAGCATATTTTCTATGTCTAGATCCCTCTGGGGAATGTCTGAATGTTTTGTTTGGTCTCCAAATTTGAGGGTTTTTTGCCTCATACTCTTAGAGATTCAAAAATTTCTGGGCAAGACACTGGCAGAGAAGTTGATGTAAACATGCCTTCAATCTTTAGTTTCTTATCAAAACATCACTAGGGTTGGTATGCAAATGCACAATTTTGAAGAGTAGCGGATAAACTCCATTTCAGAAAAGGAATTTGGCGACATTGATGTATAAACTGCTTTCTACAGGATTGCATTTAAGGAAGTATTTATTCAAATTCAGAAGCATACCTCACAGAAAATTATCTTTCTTAACTATAAAGGGCCTATCTTTTAGACTAACTAGCTACTTCAGAATGACACCGTTCAAGTTGTAAATAAATACAAGTCACATGGGCTTAATGTAGCATGATTTACATTTTCTCTCTTTTTTCCATTCTTTTATTTTTATTATTGACTTCATCGTTTTAGAGTAGTTTTAGGTTCACAACAAAATGGAGTGGAAGATAGAGATTCCCATATCTTCTCCTTTCCCCCTTACATACAAACTACCCCACTGTCAGCATCCCTCATCAGAGTGGTCCATTTGTTACAATTGATGCCATTACATTGATGCATCATAATCACTCAAAGCCCAGAGCATTAGGGTTCACACTTGGTGATATTCATTCTATGAGTTTAGACAAATGTTTAATGAGATGTGTATCCACCATCATAATACCAGAAAGAATAAATTACAACCCTAAAAATTCTTCTCTGTTATTTTTGAATTTGCATGATAGCTTATTGGTCAGAAGATCTGTCGACTTTGGGATCATCCTATGAGTTCTAACATTATTTCACGAAACCATGTGAAGCAACTGCTTTATAACTATAAGAAACAGGTGAGTTTGTGTGAAAGCACAGCCCCCAAATGTTTCTTGAATCCATGTTGCTCATTTCAACATATCCATATAGATCGCGTGTAGTTCTTACCACTTAAAATTTGCGCTTGTTTTGAAGAATCAACTAATACCAGAAGTGATTTCTCTTTTAGCTTCGGACTTCTCTGATTGACAGGCCATCATCATTCAGTGTAGAATTTCTGCCTCTAAATTACTTCATTGAAATACTGACAGATATAGAATCCTCCAACCAAGGTAATTGACTCCTTTGCTCTTAGAGTTTTCCTACTTCTCCTTTCACACATCAATCAGCCTCTATAATTTTTTTGTGTCATTTTCCCCCCAAATGCTCTTCATTTGTATGGTTTTCATTAGCAATATGCAATTTGCTACCTAGAGTAAATTGCCAAAGGAATAATTAATTACCTTTGTGGTTTTGAAAGGTTAAATACCCGTTTGGTTGATGTGATAGCCTTTCTTGGTGTAGAGATTTAATAAATTTTAATAACATTCTCAGAATAATGTGTTTTACTAAAATCTAAAGTAATTATGATTTCACTGAGTGTTATAAATGTTCCATGACTTTATAGTAAATCCATTTTCCTCTTTCTTTTTTCCAGTTCTTTGTGCTTTTGAAGGACATGACAATGTTGATGCAAAATTTGTAGAGGAAGCAGCTCTGAAACACACTGCAATGCTTTTAGGCTTATAAAAGAGAAAATGCAATTTGGTCAGCTTCCAATTATTTTATTCTTGCTCATTAGTTCTACTTCTATTGAGAATTCTCTAGTAATTTTTAAAATTGGTAGCCAAAATCAGAATACGCTGTTGAGCCCTCTGAATTTTACCTTGGTACTTGTTCAGACAGCACTAAACTCCTTTAATTTGTTCCAGTTTTGAATAGCAGATGAGCAGTCAAGTGTAGAGAAATACTCCAAGGAGACATACAATGGCAAATGATACTCTTCCCCATGGCCTATGCATTCTAAGGGCTTCTTTGACCAAAAGCTAGTTTCTGTTGCACTCTGAAATAAAGTAGACTTTAAAAATGAGAGAAACAGTACTTAGAAAAGAAAAAACTCCATGAGTCATTGAAAATGACATATAACAAGAAAATTAAATGTTGGATAAAAGCTATTTAGAAAGAGGATACTTAAAAAACAAACAAAATACAACCAAACTTGGACTAAGTCAAATCTGCTATTTCTAGTACAGAATAATTGGCAATAGACAGTAATTTGTATCTTAAGTATTTAGAACATGGTTTGTCTTTGTGAAGGTTCAGATGAAGTTGTATTTAATTTTTAAAAATTTTTTAAATATTTATAAAAGCTTGATAAGGTATCTTGTCATTAAAACACACACACACACACACACACACACTCTGAACATTTTGACTTCTTTTGTTCTTTGAATACAGCATTTTTATTCCAGCCCGAATCATGAGACCATGAACATGTTTCCTGAAGATTCCCCCCTCCCATGACATGTTAATAGTTTTCCCACTTTTCTTTTCCTTTCTTTTTTATAGTGACTTCATTCCCATCCATAAATACAGTTGTTCTGGAGGTCAGCCCATAACCCTTTGTTTTTCTTTCTTCACGTTGTTTCACTCAGTGAACTTGAGAACTTTTAATGATTATACATATCACAAGCCAGTACAAAAATTCAACTTCTTTTCGAAAACCATTACTGTGGTCGAAAGATTGGCCTCTCCTAGAGAATTTTCCTTTTTGGTCACATACTTCATGGTTGGCAAGGTTCAAAATCTTAAGAGTCATGTCTGCAAGATAGTACCGATTTGATTTTTTCTTGAGAAAGACATTCTTTTTCATTCCCTGCCTTTATTGCACACCTGGGTTGTTTCAGTTGCTTTCTAAGGTCTAATTCATCTGACACATAGTTGAGATAAACACTAGTTTGATCCTGCCACTCCTCTCTGCCCATAATGCTTCAGTAACTCACCATTCTTTATAGAATCAAATCCAAACTTTTTGACAGTCAAAGTCTCCCAAGTCCTGGCCTTGTACAATTTCCCAATATGAATACTGTGTTCCAGCCAGCCCAGTTCACTGGTCCTTGAACACAACTTTTGTCTTGCTCAGGCTCTTTCCCCCAGTTGGAATCACTTCTCCCCTTACTGAAATTGTATTCATGCTTCAGGGCCAGATAAAAAGTCCTATCTAATTGTGATTCTGACTCACAGTGACACCCCACACATACACCCCTCCCACCTTCTCTGAACCAGGAGTAGGTGCATAAGGCATCCATCCCTTTGTGATTTCTTAAAATTATTTTTCCATTATGTTGTTAAACCTATGTTTATATATATATTTAAATCTCTAATGTGGTTAGCAACATACAACACAGAAACTGACTTTGTAGTGTTTCTTTTTATTAACTGCACAGTTCATAATATTACTTGTAGATTCAGGACACTGACGGAATGAGATTAAATTTCCCTCCAATCTGGCAGGATGGGGACTTGAAACAAATTTTGTTTGGTTTAGCAAAATTAAGGACTGTGATATTTCCCACTTCCAGATTTGTGAAATAAAATTCATAAAAAACTGATACCAATATGAAATAAAGATAGCTTGAGCATAGGAGAATGTAAAAATCACAGATTTTTAATCTACTTGTAAGCAAAATTAGGAAAATATACTTGCATGAAATGCAATAAAATTTGAGTAATGAAGTAAGTAGAACTGGTCTCATTTTCAACTCTTTATATGCAATGTTATATTTTCTTGGAAATTTTGAAAAATCTGGAATCAGAACTTAAAATAATGAGTTTATATGCATATAACAATATGCAAACCTGTATGAAAATCTAGATTTATAGGAAAGATAAATAGGGCATAATTATTTTTGTGGCAAAAGGATTCTTGTAAACAAATCACCATAACATTACGGGAAAAAATAAAAACAGGCTTCCCAACTGTTTTTAACATGATTTAACTTCACATTTATTAAGCACTTACACGTCTTTGGCACTTGGAATATTTTCCTTTTTACACAACCATTGCCTTTCCCTTTAAAGTGAATATATTAAACAATATTTTCTTTGTTAAACAAAGACCACTCTTGCAATTTCTGTTTTTTATTGAAAAGTTCTTTTTATTGCATTTTTATAGTAACTTAACTACTACATATTTCTGAAAGATAGCAATATAGAGAGTGAAAAATAAATGATCGGTGTAAATATATGTTTTGACATAATTGTAGGACAATTCTATGTCCCACCTACTCAACTTAATGTAAAATATAGTGGTTGGTGAGTGTGAGAGGAAGCCATGTTGGACTCTGGCTGATTAACTGTGGACACCATATTTGCAATTTAGAAGTGTTACAGTGGCATTGTCCAGTTGTGGGTATGACGAGGCCTGGTTGAAGTGCTCTCTTTGAGAAGTTTAGATTGGTTACATTTTTAGATTTCAATTGGCTTTATAACAGGTTTCCTTATGTGCCTCATATTGGCCCCAGGTTCACTGGGCTTAAAAGGAGCCAAAGCACCATATGGTTTTGGCAAAGGAAGAGTGGCTTCTGCCTCTGGGATGTAGGCATTTGGGCGTAGCTCTGCAGTGGTATAAACACCATTGGGCAGCTGGCGATTATCTGTATCCAAGAACTCCTGCAAAAAAAGGATTATTCATTTTCAGTGTTCTGAAAACTGATGAAGTCATTGTATCTTCAGGGCCCAACAGCCACAGCTGGGTCTGAGCAGCCTTACGCTCTGCTGTCTGATATTCCCCAAAGGGACAGGAGGGTAAGAGGGTGGAGTCATCACACTCCTCTAGACTCCCTAAACTCCCCTCCAACAGACACACACGCACACGCACACACAGACTTTGTCTCATTGGAATGATGTGTGCTGCTCTAAGGTTACTATATCCAATCTCAGTATCTCTCATCAAGCCAAAGGCAGGACAAATTATTTCATTTAGTAAGCCATTGGTGGGCAAATGTCACAAAATTAGAAATAAGGAATAAAGTGGAACCAGGAGAAAAGTGGCAGTTTGCTTTAATCCACAAGTTCAAGAGTCTACCTGTGCTTCAGGAAAATAACCTCTTATAGCACTAAAAAGAACCCTAAATAATGGAGACCAGTAAATAATAGGTGTGGCACCATAGGTAAAATCTGAATGCCCTGAAAAATACAATCCCAGATAGTGTGGGAATTACAAATCAGACCCTGTTTTCAGGTGTTCCTAGTGTGTTGGGTATGCATCCTTTTCTTGGGTTAGGAGTGAATAGTGAGCCTTTTGGGGATGCTACTTAACAGTCTGAGAATGAGTTTTAGGTCCTTGCTGTGTAGTTTCCAGTCTATGATTGTTGAAAGGTTTTGGGGATCAGGAAAAACCTGGGCAACCAATTTGCAGATGGAGTCACTGATAGACCTAGTTAGGTTAGTGGTGGGAGGAGAAAATGTTGGCATTGAGTCCTAAGGTACGCCCCAGATGCAGAGTGTGCAGAAGACTGTGGCTGCCATAATATGCTGGAGGCCCTAACAATAAACCACGATGGCCAGGGCAAATGAACATGAGAGAGTCTGGTGTCATTGACGCACTTCACCATTGCAACAGAGAAAGCTTACCCGAGACTTTTCAGCAATAGCCAAGGCATACATTTCTTCATCTCGAAGTACCTTCAGCCATTCTCTCTCAATATCTTTATGGAGTGGGAGACCCTTTTCTATTCTGGAATTGCAAGAAAGGATAAAGTCTTCTTTCTCTCTAACTTCCTTTTGGAGTTCAATGGCCAAAGCTTGTTTCATGGACAGCTCAGCAACAAGAGCCATCATTTTTTTAGTAGCATCTTTAATCTTTTTCTGGTAGCCATTCATCTACAATCAAAGAGCCCAAGAGTTAGCATATGTATATTTTTCCATGAAGACTTGAAGAAAACGCAGGCTGCTGGCTGTCTATGATGGGGGAGTGGTGGTAGAGGGACTCTCTTGTCTAAAGGGAGAAGAGTCTCAGTGGGAATTCACAGAAAACAAGAATTGGTGAGAACCTCCGAGATTGACCTCATTATCCTGGTTGTATAAATAAGGAAAAGGAGAGAAAAGAAAGAGATCTATTCATCTGATTACTGGATTTCTGGGTGGAGAGCACTGAGAGGAAGAATTTAGTGTCTTTATTGTTAAGAGGTGACAAGGAGAGAGAGAAAGGGTGTTCTTAATGTCTAAGTTCTGGCAGATTTTGCCATGTTACTGATTTGTAACTTATCCACTAGAAAGAAGTCTGGTAGAACAAAACTATTTTAAAAAAATTGGCATTATCTAGGAAACTGTAAGTCTTTGCTGGGATTTCCCATTTTCTTTCAGTTGGGAAACTTGCAAGAGAAGCCATAAACTATATAGGAAAGATGAGAGGTAAGGAGACATGCATTGTTGTTGAGTACCCACAAGTAGGTAGGTCACTTATGCTCAATTATGTGATGTTGGCAACAATTTCAGCTGACATCACAATTTTCACAGATCAGGAAACTCGGTATAAAGATCATTCATGTATCTTTTCAAGATCATTTGCCAGTATTGGTAAATCACAAATATGGGATCTGAATATCTTTCTACTTTCTAGCTCCAATTACTATTAGGAGATTATAATTTTAAATGAAAATAAGAGAAATGCCAAGTAGAGACAGAGAAGGTGGGGAAAAGAGGAGAGAAAACTGCATAGTTTTTGTGGAGCTGCTGAGTAAGTGAGGCCCACCATTCACAAAGAACTAGACAGGATTGAACTTTGCGTGTGATGTATAAAATCAATAATCAGCATATCTGAATAGGTATCCTGTTAAGTGAAACTTGTATATTGTCATCAAAAGGCTCAGGTTTTCCCACCATAAACTGAATTCAATCAAGGAACAAGATTGAAAATTTATTTTGAACAGTTCTCTAAGGATCATCTTTACAGTTTAGTATATCTGTCTCTCTCATCATAAAGCCTAATCTCTAGTGTTTCTCTGAATGGATAAATCAGTCTGTGGAAAATGAAAGGTGCTAAAGGAGTAGGGGGAGAGGAGAGAAGGCAGAATTTTGGACAGACCTTCTTGGCCAAGAGTAGTGTGTCCTGTTTGCCAGCCTCACTTTTGCTGCAGAGCCGTTCTGTGAGCCGGGAAACCTGTTCATAGATGAAATCCTTCTCCATTAACTTCTCCTCCTCTTTGGCGAGCTGAAGTTCCAGCTATTGTTGAAAACAATTTTAATAGGAAAAAAAAAAGTCAAGTCAAAATATTCTTTCCTAGTCAGAGTGTTATTGTGCCTTCCCTCCTTTAGTGAAGACATTGCTTTTGCAATTGCCAAATTGTTTAGAACTGAACTAGTCAAGACTTCCCCTGCCGCAACCCTTCTGGGTAGCTGAGAGTT